AGACTCTCTTATACTATTCATTATGGCAGTATAATAAAATGGTGAATTTTAATTAGATATGCTCTCTTGAATGTAAATTAAAAAGGCATGGAATTCCTATTGCAATGAATAAAAATGGATGGAAGAAAGGATTTCAATACATACATTTTGTGTTGATCAATTTTCTACAGCACGGCTCAAACGGAAAGACGAAAGAAATTATGGTTGCGTTGCTGTGTGTGGTCGTTTTAAACTTATTCTTCTCCGTTTTTTTTTCTTATCATTCACCAAAAACAAAAATCACTAATTGAATTTTTTTTAAAACGTTTTTCTGTAACGTGGCGTGAAAACATGCGCGCTGAATTTTTCCATGAAAACCTTGTTGAAAATATCCTAATTATACCTATAATTATCATAAAGAGGAAACATACAATCAGAAAAACGGGCATTGGAAGCCGTGAAAAGCATATGTTGAAGAGAAACAAAAAAGAATTTCAGTTTAAACAAGAGCCATTTGCTTGCTGCTGCTTGTGTGAAGAAAGCACTTGCAAAAAAAAAAGAAGTGAAGAGAAAAAATCCCATAAAAACTTGTTGCTTTTTCAATAAAATTGGCTTCAGTCCCATCTTTGCCATTAAAAAAACAATTACATGAAAACGTCCAATAAAATCAGTTTCAGTTGAAAATTGAAACCACTTTCGTTATTCATAATTAGCTTATTTGCAGAATATATTAAATATGGCAGCAATTTTAGAACGTTGCTGACGCGTGAAAATCGAGTCAATTTTGTATATATGCACATAGGATGTGCGAGTCCTTGCACGAAATTCGATAAAAGTATGTTTCGTGTTACCGACAACTAGTTGCATTTGGATAGAATCGATAATAATTGTTGAATGTTCCATCCTCAAAGAACAATGAAAACTTCTTGTTGTTGTTGCCATCATTCGACTATATTTTAACCGTTTTTTCGTTTCATTTTTATTTATATGCTATGCACGGCACACACAGGCTGTGCTTAAGCATTTGAAATGGGATTTTATGTTGGAAAAAAAATTCCACATTGATGCGATGATTGTCTAGAAATTCACTTTCATTTTTTGCTTTTGTTGCCTCTGCTCAAACACAGAATGTGATTATGGAAAAAAATGTGCAGTTGACTAAGTGCTCCATAAGTCAAGCATATATACAATTTTATACAAATATATATAACGCGCGCGCTCAGACAGCGTGTAGCACGAATTTCACTTTTCACAAAATCAAACAGAAAAAAAAAGAACCAACTGTACAACCATCTCGAGGATTGTGTTTTTTCTGCACACAGCTAACTGTTGTATGTCCATACCCACTGAAATGCAGTTTCCGACTAAAATTGGCAACAGATCTCTCACTCGGTGCTCTCGTTTCGGTCTGAAGATTTTCACTTGTTACGTTCTCGAATTTCCACTGACTACTGATAATGCGCGCGCAAAGTTCACATATTTATAGGTGAGCTAAATGTAGCAGCAGCAACAGGAGCGACAATGGCAGCAACAGTAACAGCAACAGCAACCGCAAGGCATCCACGCGCGTATCGCAAAATTCAAGAGATATTTTCTATTCAAAAATCTAATGAAACGACAACGATAACGACATTCATAAAGGATAACATATATTTTCGCTTGGTGGAGGTTATTCATCAGTGCCTGTATGGTGTGTGCTGTGTGCGATGTGTTCACATCGTCATGCGAGCACATTTGGTCCAGGGCAAAGGAGAAAGTGTGCAGTGTACACAGCCAAATGAGGAGAGACAGAGACAGAGAAAGACTTCGAAATCGGTAACCATAGCTATTGATGAACTGTGGGAAAATTGATTAAGCCAAACATACAATCTCCTCGTGTATTCGGTTCTGCACAATGTGCTACAAACTGGAGAAACGAAACGGGGCACTGTTGTCTGCTGACGTGCTGAAAATCAACTTCCGACCATAATACAATGCACTGAGACTAGCTAAACCAACCAATCGACATTGTACGAACCGAACAATCAACAACATTTAACTACATAATCGTCCGGCATACAGATCGATTATCATTAGCAGCGTTCATATGTTGGCTTATAAGATGAATCTCCATCAAATTTAATTCACTCCAAATGACCGCATATTACATTACGGCTTTTTAAACGGTCGACCGTCATCGTTCTAAATTGACTGTGTAATTATCTAATACAGTTTTTTTTTCTCTACTCTTGCTGAAACGGGCCTCGACTTCCCATACATGTGCACACAAATTGGTTCATGTTTCGAAATTTTCCACGTATAATAAAAGGACTCTCTCACTCTATCTCTTGCACTGGCTTACCTTGCCCCAAAAGCAATTACGTTAAAACGTTTGCATATATGACATAGTTATCCTATCATTTACCTAGCCATATATGGCCGTAAATTGTGACGTAGGAAGATTTGGATGAAGAGAGCTTGCATTAATCCAACGTATCAATTCATTAGACTCAGTCTCTGTGGTTGCGAGCCAACTATATATATGTACATAAAATTTGAATTTTTTTTTTTTATTTCATTCATTTTTTAAAATCCAATTTTTCGAAATTGAAAACTCTCATTGGAATTGGATTAATTTGGCCGTGATTTATTTTTTTTCCTCTTTTTTAACGTTCAATTTCTTTCTCAACGAAAAATTTTCCACACAGAGTTGACTGTCATGTACTGTCAAATTTGACAGTCGAATTTAGTTATGTTGAAGTTTGTTTACAAAATAAAATGCTCACAAACTAATCTGACTCGTTTGCTTTATTTTGTGGAATTTAATATCTGTTGTGAAGTAAAATAAAAAGAATGATCAAGTTAGTTTAATTAGTTTAACCAAAGAGCCCACAAATAACCAAAATAAAATATGGAAACAAGCGACGATGAAATTATAATTCGATATACCGAACAAAATGAAAGAGAGTTGATTGAACGGAAAAAACATGAATTAATTTTACGGAAATACCGACTGAACACACAACGACTTATCAAAGAATACCAAACGAAAATCCAACAGCAAAACCGTCAAATTGAAATGTTAATGAAAGAGGTGAAGAGGCAAAAGTTTATAATTGACACATTTGCAAATGTAAACATGGAGACTGTGGACATCTCAACACAATCAGAACGGTCAAATGAGAATGCAAAAATTGAAATCGATTCTGAGTTAGAAGCAATTTTCTATTCAAATAACAAAACAAAACAATCAGACCGTGAAAATGCAAATGAAAAACATGTAAATTTATGCAACTCTCCAAGTCAACGTGAGAGATTAGACACCAAAACAATGGGACATAAAATCGAACGAATTGATATCGAACGAAAAAAGTCATCGCTTGTATCCATTGAAATTCAGCCAAATATACAGCCCAAAATTAACAGTTCAACAAATGTATACATCTGTGATGAGTGCAATAAAGCGATGTCTTCAAGGAGAGTGTTAGCGGTTTGTATTTCGGAACTGATTTTTCCAATTTCCAGAACGAACATTTCTATACCTATATATCATATTTTCGATAGAAACACAAGCGTATGGTTCACTGTTTACAAAAGGAATTCATTTGTGACCATTGTTCGAAAGCATTTTGCACAAGGGACGGTTTAAAAAGGCATCTTAGAATACATACAGGTATTACTGACATAGATTGTTGTTTTGCTCATTTTGATAACAAATTAACAAATCCTTATTTGTTTATATTCTCAGGTGAAAAACCATTTGTTTGTCGAGGATGTCAAAAGGGATTTAATCAATCGGGAAATATGCGAATTCATGAAAAAACCTGCAAAAAGTACTTAAGACTAAATGGATAATATCTTACCAAATACGAGATTACTTTCAATTGTTTCGACCTTTTGATGTAGTCGATTGCTATAAAAAGACATTTTGAAATAAAGATTCAAATAAATAGAATTTCTTTTTTCATTGCTTGAGTTGTTGTCCCTCCCTAACGAAAGTGTCAAAAGTTCACAACAGCGACATCTGCCGCTTTGGATCCGAAATATTTCGATTCAATATGACTTGAAGCTGTCAAGTATGTTTGTGTGTGCATGCCTTGATTCCATAAAGTGTCAAGAGAGAATAGCGGTCAGAATACGTTTACAAAACAAATACCAAATTATATTTAATTTTAATTGGAATTAAATCGACTGAATGAAATAAAAATGACTGAAAAGCAGTAAGTAGACTTGAAATGTTGTGTTTCCTTTGAAATTCGTTGTAATTTTCTACTATATTTTAAATCATAATCTTTTCAGATATGGTTTGATCAAACCGCAGAAGCCTACGACTCGGTTGATGGCATTTGCTAGTGACAGTGAGTCAGACGATGAGCCGGCGGCAAAGAAGAAAATTTCGATTGGTGAAAGTGTCACTCAAAAGCGACAGGCACGAATTATACAGCAGGACGCTCTTAAAATAGATCCAACGATATTTCAATACGACGAATTGTATGATGAAATGACCGCAAATCGTGAAGAGGCCAAGAAAGCCAAATCAAATGTTAATCGAGAATCAAAATACATAAACAAATTACTGGTGGCGGCCGAAAAGAGAAAAATTGAGTATGAAACCCGAATCGAACGCAAAGTACAAAAGGAACGTGAAGCAGAGGGCGATCAATTCAAGGACAAAGAAGTTTTTGTTACGGCTTCGTATCGTGAAAAATTGGAAGCAATGAAGAAAGCTGAAGAGGTTGCCCAACGTGAAGAGTATTTGGAAAATATTGGTGATGTATTAAAACAAAGGGATTTGAGTGGTTTTTATCGACACATGTACGAACAGAAACTTGGCAATGATAAAAATGATGAAGTGACAACGGAACCGGATGGAAAAAAGGAAACGCTTGAAGTTAAAAAGAAAGATAACCAATCAGGCAAACGACGTATGTATCGAAAACACAGTGACCATGAAAATTCGGATGACGAACAGAGCACATCGAAAGCAAGCGGAGAGTCAGCCAGCAAAAAAGTGCATTTGCAATCTAATTTAGATGCAGACTCAGATTTTAGTATAGATTCGTCGTCAGATTCAGAAGATAATGACGAGGAGAAAGCGAGTGACAAAACAAATCAAATAACTGGTTCTCCGTCGAATGCGGACAAAATGGACAAGAGTAATAAAACTGAATCGAAAGAAGAACATCAAAAGATTGAGTCTGCGGAAAATGGAGCCGTAAAAAATGAAGGAAAAAAGGATGCTAAGGAGTCGAACGGAGGGGAAAAGAGTGAAGAGGAAAAAATGCCACCGCCAAAAGAAGTGAAACCAAAAGTGGACATTTGGAAAAAACGAACAGTTGGTGAGATCTACTTAAATGCAGTTAAACGATACTATGAAAGAAAACAAGCAGCAGCATAGTTGGACGCCGTTGGAAGCATTTGGTTTGAAGAACTGCGAAGAAAACAAAATGATTTGTAATGAAAAGAATAAAATATTATGATATCACACACAATTTATCTGTGAGTTATTGATGGAATCATATCTAAATACTACTCCGCGTATAGTCTCATGTTTCATTTCCAGGTAAAATTTTATTGCATGATTTTTGGTGAAAGGCTTGCGAGGCCGTACTGAACCACATTCGTACATTAAACTACACATTGTTCGAACAGTCATCCATTTCAACGCCTAACAAGCGTATTAATAATCAAATTCAGTAATCGAAGAGTGTTGTCGTATCCGTAGCTGTCAAGCTTCTATTTTAAATTTTTTTTTTAAATTAGTTTCCCAAATATTGAACGGCCTGTGTTGAAAGTATGAAGATCTTTGCCCTAATTATAAATTTAAAGTGCATTTGATGCTTTGGAGGATGAAGATTCTCTGGATATCGCCGATGTTTTAGATGCCGCGGATGAATATGAATGTGTGCTTTGAGTTCGTGGTTAGTCTTCACACGCATCGTGCCTATAGCCAGGAAACGTAAGTATTTGTGGACTAGTTCGTTCAGGTGTGACACGTTTGTTCAATAAAAATTGATCTTGTGGCTTGATTTTCACACACATATACACACATACACACGCACACACACTGCAAAATCAGTTTTAACCACGCTAAAAAACTACTTTTTTGCATTTCTTTTATCTCTTCTCTTTCTTATCTCTCTCTCTCTCTCTCTCTCTCTATCCCTCCCGTTTTTTTTACTTTCTTCTGTTAAATTTTTTGAATTTTTTTCTTTTGCTTGCTCAATCTCTCTCTCTCTCTTCCTCTCCATCTCATACACTCTCTCTCTCTCTCTTATGAAAGAAAAAGCAAATGGAAATTGATTCGAACAATACACAACACAATTTTCTTGTTTTGGATTTATTTTTTTTTATTCATTCAATGAAACAATCGAATAATAACCGAAAAAAAAAAATCATAAACAATCGTATCAAATGAGAAAAAAAAATAAAATAAAAATGTTACTTTAAAATTCCGATAGATGTCTCTATTGATAGATTGTCACATTTGATTGAGAAAATTTATCAACATTTTTACTGAACATAAAATTATCTCAAATATTTTGATGTTAAAGTTATCATTGTTCAAGCAAATTCATTTCAATTGATTTCCATTGATTTTTTGACATTAATGATGATAAGGCGAAATGAAGTATAAATGAATCGATGCGTATGTGAAATTGAACATTTCATTTGTGTACAACTTCAATGTGATTCTTTGTTAGAATAAAAAAAATAGATATGTCAATGTGTCAAAAAGAAAATGTCATTGTTTTAAATTATACCAAAAGTGTGAAGACAGAAAAATTGTTTATATTTTTTATAAAACTGTGAAATTTGTTTTTTAATCACAAAAATACAAACATGTCGGACGACATAGAGTCTGTCATTCAAATATCATTTGAGATATTTCATGAGCTCATCAAAACGGACGTACAAAACAAAAGTGACTTAATTGTTGCAATAATTCATTACAGAATGGTTATTCGGAATGGTTTTCTGTGCTTAGGATTAGGCCAACAGGTAAATTTTTCACAATCACAAAATTGCACATTTTTCACTTAAAATGAGTAAAAATCGATGTCATATCAATTGAAAATTATTTATTTCTGTTGCATTTGGCGTACACGATATCGTGTGCTGTGCGCTGATCATATCGCACACTCAGTGCGATTCTTCGTCCCTGGTTTTTGAAATAGCTAAATTTTTTCAAAGTACAGTTCGCTGAATTTGATTGAAAAAGTAGTTTTTTTAATTTTTTGATCATAGCCTACAGAGTAGAGTATTGAATTTTTCTAACCATCGTCTGCGATGATGTTGTTGCCGACATATAACCGAAAAGTGGCTATTTATATTGATTAATCAATTTGTTTTTGAAACGATTTTCGGTTTTGAACACAGATAACACTCCAACCAGAAGAAGAAAACAGTGGCTCCGTACTATTGCCGAGAAATTGGTATGGAAACCGCCGACTATACGAGCTTAGATATGTACGTGAGCGCAAAGTATTCGTGTTACTAGGTGACGTGAATAACAATCGCACAATTATTTTGACGTTGCTGGTAAGCATTGGCGAGGGAGAGAGTGAGAGAGAAAGAGAAAGAGAAGAAAAAAACTTCTGATGAAATGTGGATATATCTTTTTTTCGTTCAATTTTAGAATGGTGACGCAATGCAAAAAACAAAGATAGACTTTGTTATCGAAGACACAGTAAAGTCGATGCAAGGCGGACTATTAACAATGGTACCAGGATTTCATGCTATCATAAGCCGTTTGCAACGCGAATTGGTGGATCCTCTCACAGCCCAGCCATCAGTTTTGCAGCGGTTTTGTACATCTGGTTTAACTTGGAGCAGTAAACTTGCCGTTGCCTGCATTGCAATACCTGTAATTATTGTTGGTTGTGTTTTTTATTACACGCATTTAAAAGAATGAATTTTTGTTAATAATGTTTAATGATTTCGTTTTTTTTGGTTAGTTTGCTGTTTTAGTTTCTTTTGTTGTTGCTGTTTTAGCTGCTTTTGTTGTTGTTGCATCAAATTCAATAAAAACAATCATTGTCTAAAACTCATCTTCTTTTCTTCAAACCACAGGTATCTCAAATGAAAAGTTTTTTCATTGGTGTTGAGGGCCGAAAAAAAAATGAATAGTCCCATTTGAAAAAGATCTACAGATCAGTACATTCTTCTAAATTAAATGCATTGTAATTTGAAAAAGAAAATAAAGTGCACGAAAAGCATAAGTCAAATGTCTTTTTCTCGGCAATAGTGTTATTTCGATTGAAATTGAAAATGTTTTAATTCAATTCCGAAATTGTTCCCGTCTGCAATGAAAACCAAACATTTTACTACTATTCAAAAGTCTCCAAGTGAAAGCCATCAGAACGAATGTGAACACTCGTTGATTGCAATGCATCACTTCGATTCGATACAATTTCAAGTAAGTTTTTTTTTTTTCTTTTCTTTTCTTTTCTTCTCTTTAATTTTATTGTTCGCTCTCACTGACATGATTTGGCTATTTTTTTCAATGTTGCATGGAAATTTAATTACGAAAATTCAATATTGCGAGCGTTTCATTCTATTTGGTTGCTTTCAAAACAGAGATGTCTTGTCCTGCTTTTTTGTTCACTCTTGGCCATAGGTTCAGATTTTATATCCACAAGCGATGCTCTTGATTGTGTCGATGTTGACGGTGATACGGGATGTAATTTCGGTTCGATTTCGGTTTTATGCAGGTGAGTTTTCATGGACTGTGATCTTCTTGCTTGATGAGCAGTCGATGAGAAAATCGCATTAACTCCAATATTTGTTAGCAATTGAAGAATAAAAGTATACTTCACAATACGTGAAAATAACATCATCTTAGAGTAAAACTTGTGTACTTTTCACAAACTGAAACGATGTACTGTCTATAAATTCATCATCTTTGAGCATCAATAGTTCGCTTTTCACAATCGATTTATTATCAAGTAACATTTAAACTAGTATGTCTAAATCATGCAGTTGTGCGATAATAGTGTTTATCTCACCCGTGTTCGATTCCTACAATGAAGAAAATCTTTTTTATTTAAAAACTATGATATATTTCGAATATTCACCAACAATTCTATTTCCATTGCTCATATGAGCGAGAGAGAGAGAGAGAAAGAATATTCATGTTTATGTCGTCGCTACGGACCTCACTCAACCGTTGACCATGAAATATACACTAAGCAGACACGTTAATGTTGAGAGAGAGAGAGAGAGAGAGAGAGAGATAAGAAAGAGAAGAGATAAAAGAAATGCAAAAAAGTAGTTTTTTAGCGTGGTTAAAACTGATTTTGCAGTGTGTGTGCGTGTGTGCGTGTGTATGTGTGTATATGTGTGTGTATGTGTGTATGTGTGCACTAATACTAATAAACGTGGATTAAACCCGCTTTTTCATACTACTAATGTCTCTGGTAATTTTTCTAATTTGTTGCTTCTGATGCTTCAAAAGCGCTTGCAATCTCTCTAAATCCTTTTCTTCATTTGCTTTATTTTGTGCAGCCAATAGATATTTATCGCGCAACTTTTCGTGGTATTTTTGCTCTTCGTTTATCGCGTTCAGTTCACCTTGTAGTACAATCAATGTGTTGTATTTCTCAATTTGTTGTTGCTTCAGCGATATAAGCTCTTCATTTTTATTTTCCAGAATTCCCTGTGAATAAACAACGCTCTTACAAACAGAAGCACACAGTGAAGAAAAACCATACTTTGAGTTGTCGTAGGTCTTTGTCCTTTTCGCACGCATCATCACATTTTTTCGATTGAATCATGAGTAATCGGGTTAGAACCGCTTCTTCCATTTCATCAAAGTCGATTTTCATGCCAAACTTCTTCACCATTTTATCATTAACTTCTCCCCTCAGTGAATTTATGTTGCTATTTATTTTGGTGCAAGTACTTTTGATTTGATTCAGTTGCAATTGAAGAGATCTACATTGAACAAATAACATTATTTCCTGTTTTCTGAGTAATGTAGTTGATGCTTTCAAAGGGCTTATTGGTTTTGTTTTACTTTTGCTTGGCGTGTTCGCTGAGAGTTTCCATCTCATACTCATTTATTTGCTCGTTAATTTTCGCCATATTGTTTTTGTTTACCAAAACGCTCTCGGTAAATGTGGTAGTTTCGCTTGGTTTTAATGTTCGAAACCTATCCTCGGGCAACATAATCACAACATCAATGTCATTCATTTGTGCTTCTCTTTCCTCCTAGCAAGAATTATACAAAACAGTCACTCCGAACACTTTTTGAAATGGCAACATTTTATCTGCAAAGAATAAAAATACCAGCATTTTCTTCAAGGCGTATTTATCTCCTTTCAGATCTCGGTCCAAAATAATCCACTCTCGCAGAAGGCTATCAATAGTATCAACTAACGGCTTGATGGTTTGCTTTTCAGCCGATGACATTGGCAATGCGGCGATTTGTTCTAATATCTGCAGTTGTTGGTCAGCTATCGAACTGTCTGCTCAAGAAATAAAATATATATTTTCATTCTAATACTTATTCAACTTTTTTTCTATTGTATGTAGAATACCATTTGCTTTGAACAGCAATTCCATTTCGATAATTTTACCATTGGTGTCTACAAGAGCGTCATCGCCCATTTGCTCTTTAAATTTTGACTTGGTCAATTTTACCTCTTCTTCCAGCAGTTTCATTTTATCGTTGGTCGCATCAATCGATTTAAGTAATGATTTATGAGGCTCTTCGAATTTATTTAGTACCAGCAGCTCTTGATATAATACAAAGTAATACAATTCCATGAATTGAACTTTCAATGAAATCTCGATACTTTGTTCGGCAATGTCATCAATTTTGCTATCAAAATTTTGATAAATGCTTTCGATTTGTGTGAACAGTAAGGTTTGCTGTTTGTTAAGCTCTGCCGTCCAAATGTCCATGCCATCTATTTCGTTTGATTCATCAAATAGTTGCAGTTTTGTTTGTAAATCTTTCACATTTATGTGCACTTCCTAGAAAAATGAAAACCGTATTTTAATGGAAAAATATTGAATGTAGTTGATGACACAGAACAAACCTTAAAAGATTTCCCATCGAACTGTGTCACTTTTTCTGTATGCTCCTTGACCGCAATTGTATTATCATGTCTTTTGTGGTGAAGTTTCTTATAGATTCGATCAAGTTCAGAGATTTTATCACATAAAATGGAACTATTTTTCAATTTTTCGTCTTGCAATTTCAAAACACTTTCGTTAAAATCTCGTTTGATTTTGGTTATTTGGAGCTTGATTGATTTTAGCATACGATATTTATCAACAATAGTTTGGTTTGCATATGCTTCAAAATCTGCCGCTGTATCCCAATTGTCACTGTGTAAATTCTCATCACTGCTGGTTGAAAAACTAAATCGAGGCTCTGCCAACTCAATTCGCTTCCACTATTAATGATAATGTTTACTATTCAAGCAAAATTTCACATCAATTAAAGCTGAATTCATACTTGTCTCCGACGCTCCAGATCTTCTTGCTTGCGGGCCGCATATCTTTTGAACAAACGCCTTGTTTGAATATCAACTTGTTCCGTATAAATTTTCTCAGCAATGGAACTAATGAAATCATTCACATGAGTTACACTGTCACTCGATTTATCCGTCATTCGCACAGAATCACTTGAATGCTTTTGTTCACTAAAAAGAAAATGGCAATAAAACGTTCGATTGGATTGAATAGAAGTCACAAAGATAAGTTTCTCATAATATTTACATTTGATTGTGTTCAATCGAAGAGCTGAAAATAGAAGAATTGCCCATGTCAAAGCTGGAGAAAATCTATCTGAAGTGTTCAGTTTACCTCGAATTACTTATTTCCAAAGTGATTTCTCTTTCGTCAAACTGTACCTTAAGCGCTTGGAATTCATCGTTTATTTCATATATGAGAAACGTTTCTACAATCTTTCGACTTCTATAAATATTTATAACCAAAAGAACATAGATGAATGTGTATTATTGAATCGATGTTGACTTTTAGAAAAAATATTTCAACAATTAAGATTTATTATTCCTCTCTTAATTAACTAAGTGGGGGATAGGATAAATATTCTTTTCTCTTACAACGTCGTTGCTTCAAATCAAATAGTGACCTTCTAAATGATCTATACTAGGAGCTCAATACATACTAACATACTATTTTGAAATGTTAGTTGTTCGCATCTGACTAATCTGGAATATTTGCAGACATATGTGTAGATTTGCTAAACAATTTTTGTGCTACGTTTGGGAATTATGTGATTCTTTTCTGGCTCGCACCGACAAATCAGCCTCTCGGCTCTATACGTACCCCATTCATAAAGTAATTTGCAGTGACTTCATACACATAACATGAATTTGGCATATTTTTATGGGCAGCATGGAAATACTTGTCACAAATTCAAAGGTTCAACGAATTTTGTTGTTGTGAAGTGGGTTACAAAATTAAAATAGCTGCAGCTAATTATGAGATAACGCTTATGAGCTGAATATAGTCACTAGTAATTGAACGGACTCACGTAGATTGATATAGAAGAAAAAAAAATGTAATTCTTATTACTTTATTACCTACTTATTACCTACTATTAATAAGATGACCTATTACTTATATAAGTCCATCTTATTACTGTAATAAGTAATAAGTTCATCTTAGTACAGTAATAAGAAGAAAAGTAATAAGTAATAAGTTACTTATTACTTTACTTCTATATAGATTGAATCGAAAAACGAAAAAAGTCTTTTCTTTGCATTCATTTACTGTGAACTCCCATTGCTGTGCTTAATACATATGTATAATTAAATTTAGCCTAGAGCATCTACTGGTAATGTTGAGAATATGTTTGATGCCTTTGTTATGACAGAGGAGAGTAAGTATCTCTGGAAAGAAAATTTCAACCAATCCGTTATCTCTTATCTGTTGCACGAAAAACGGGAAAAAATCATAACAACCCGAGGCATGTAAACATAATACAAACTGAATTGTAATAAAACAGATTCTACTCTTACACTCCCACTGAAAGACAAAAGGCTGATCGAACGAAACTGCAAAATAACATTCAATTGTGTTCGCTCATCTAGACTCAAGTACATGTGTTGTGATATAGCTTACCGAAATCCTGTAATTGTAATTGGCCAATGCTCCAGATTATCCAGGTATATTTGTTGCATACGATCAGCTTGCGTTCGAATTTTTTCAATTTTCTTCAGCAATTCCGCTTGAATAGTTTTAAATTTTTGCTGTGTTCTCCATTTCAAATCATCTGTTATTCGTCTGTCAATTTCAAATGCAGTGGCGTTCAAATGAAATTTACTTGGCAGCTTGGCATGTTTAATTTTAACTGCTGCAAATTCATTTTTAAGCTTTGCAATGATTTCGAGAACTTCAGCCTTTCGTTTTTGCACTTGAATTTTGCGATTGTTTTCCAATTCCAGTTGTTTCTGTTGTTCTAAACTCAAACAATTGGTGATGGCACTTTCATCAACAAGTTGATGTTCAACTGTACACCGTTCATAAACATTTGAGTTTTCAGCATTTTGGCTCCTTAGTTTCAAATTGTATCGCAAAATTGAGCCACTCGAATTGTTGTACACGATTAAGTTCATTTTATCGGTAGTAAAAAGCATATGAACGGACTCTAGTTCAAAATCACGTGGCATCTCAAGTGTAAAAATATCTGTAAATAGAATCGCTTCACCGTAATTGAATCGTTCGACTGATATTTTACCACTCGTAAGGCAAAAAAATACAATTCCATTATCGCTGCAATAATGAGAATTTGGTTTGAATATTGAAAAAGTGGAAAATGTCCGAACCCATTTGCATTCAAACCGAATGAAAGAAACTTACAAAATTACGTAATAATTTATTCGTCCAGAATCTTTGATAACTGAGAAAATATTCGTGCAAAAGTTGTATTCATAGAGATTTCCATCTGATAATAAAATCCACAGGTAATTTTCATCCATTATGCTAAATGAAAGCATCTGAAGTGACGAAAAATCTGTTGCAAACATTATCTTGTCATCAGAATTCATAGAATCATATAATAAATACGATTTCACATCACTCTTCACATTTTCGCTCGAAACAAATATTTTCATAAGCACGTTGTTTTCATTTGCAATGATGAGCATTTGCTGCGGGAATTTCACAGTGAGCTTCAAATATACCGACAAAAATGGAATAAGACGGAGCTTAAGTTAATTATTTACCTTATCCACGTCACAATCGAAACACGCTATTCGCTGTATCACTGTATTCATGCGAACAAACCCAATAGGAGAGAGCGTAATTTCATTTGAAGACGATGAAATGCTATAAATAAAAATTGTTTGATCTTCAGACGCAGAAACCACAACCCTTTCATTCATGAGAATTTGTTTGACTCGACCCAGATGAGGTTTTGAATGTTGAATAGTTTTGATGCTCGAGCTGTTCCAGGTATTTTCATCAATGTCAAAGCATGTTACACGTATAGATCCATCTACGAAACCAAATATTACCGTTTTTCCTGATGCATTAACCTAAATGGTTTGGTGTATTGTGTATTGTGTATGTGTTCTGTTGTTTGATATTATCACAAATGATGTGTCCAATATGAAAATTAAATAAAACCAATTCATTGAATTTACCTCTTTTGAGCACCAAACAAGGGAGCTGGCTATAACTCGAAATCGGTATTGAAATACCATCTCACCACTTTTGTAATTATACAAACATAAAACTCCTCGACCATCTAAAGTTATGAACTGTGTTGAATTGGGTGACACGGCCGCACTCACCAAATCTCTTGAGCTTGCTCGGAAAATCGCTTCTAAAGTGTGTGACGTAAAATCTGAGTCGATAATACTCTTCCAAATAACACCGTTGCCATCGTGAATGTAGCAAAATTGAGCATTGTCGGGGTCAATCGTAAATGAAAGTAAATCATCACTCGATCGAATGCTTGAGTTGATTTCGTACTCATAAACGGCTTCGAATTCAATGATTTTCTCATTTTCACGCTTATCTATCAAGGTAACATCGTCCCAAAACCAAATACGAACATAATTATCCTTGCCAATTGTGTACAAATACTCATTGCACAAGATAATTTGTGTAATTGTCGCATTATGGCATGGTTGCCGATTTTTTCGGCACATTTCAAATTTAATTTGACCATTCTGCCATACCAGTACGTTTCCCCAATCGCAATTCGTCAACAAACGATTATTTTTGTCCGTGCAAACTGTTAGAATGTCGCAAGTTTTGAACTTTCCGAATCGACCAAAATTTCCAATCAATTTCAGTCCGGTGAATGTTTGAACAATATCCCAGAAATGTAAATGTTTTGCTCCCCCAGTGTACATAAATCGATCATTATCCATGGAAAATTTTAAATCAAAATTATCGTTGATTTGTGTACTTCTAAATTGTAGGAGCATAGTTGCCGTTTGCCAATCCCAAATTGTCACTTCAAATTCGGGCACATTGCTTTGTGATGCCAATAACTTGCCCGAGCTACTATAGCTCAAGATTTCCAATTCACTTCGCCCACTCGAACATACACTAACTATTTCCATGCTTGGGTAGTTGCGAATATAAATTTTTGATTCGCATCCATTTTCTGCTATCGCCAAATGATTATTCGTCACATTTTTCTACGACAAATTGAAAATAATCATATTTAGTCCATTTGGCTACACTTGTGACGGTTGAAACCCTACTGTTATGGCTCCAATGGATTGCTCGGTACATTTCGTAGAAGATAACACCTTTGCACTGATTATGAAGAAATATAGAAATTGACCCGATTTAAATGCTAGTGTGTCTGCGTCGACTAATAACAAATTTTCAACCCCTCGACAGTCGGATCCAAGGTGATTCCTTTAAAAAGGAGTTAAATTACTTCCGAATCAAAAATGTTTACGACAATCACTTACTTGAAGGAGATAATTTGCTCTGTTACAGCTCTGTCCATGTCACAAATTTAATTTGATTAGTAGAATTTACAATGGAACTCAAACCAGGAAGCTTTTTTCAGTTAGTTCAAAGTACAAAGCAAAATTTTAATAAACACTTCCATGGCAACGAGGTGCAGAGGAATGTTCAATATCGTAAACAATGAGCTGGACTTCCGATACAAAGGCGAAAACACAACAATGATTACAGTTCACAATCATTAGGAATAGGAACAAAATGCTGCTGTGTGTAAAATGTGTGTGAATTTCTTTATTTATCTTGTTGTATATGACTCATTTACATAGTGATTGAATGATTTATCTCCGAAATTCGCAACAATACGAATTGAATGCTCGCTAAATAATGATTGAATATGTATGTACTTCATAGAGTATTTGCATTTTCCAAGCCAATAATGATTGCGTTATTAATTTGGTGCTTATAAAATTCCATTGAAATACATGAAGTGGTTCATTTTCATTAACTAAATTTATTAACGCTTGCATTCGACATAACAAATTGCAAACATTTTAGAGGCGGTTTTTTCGTATTTGAACTGGAATACAATATACAATGATAATAATAATAATTTATTTTCCCGATTTTATTATAGACTCGCCTCCTGTATGTATAATTGGTATTTATAATGAATTTATGCTAGAATGCAGAACATTTATTGACCTACAAAACGTTGAGTTTTTGTCTTTCTTGGTTTAAATCCGAATGGATTAGTATGCATGGATTTTCACTTTCCTTGTTGTGGTTGTAAAATTTCACTTCTTTCCGAGGAGACGATTCATTTCTTTGTTTTGTTTACCCACTTTAGCGTCGACATTTTCCACTTTCGTTGTAATATCGTCGATTAAATCATTTTGGTCATCGATTTCTTGATGCAAATCAACCGCTAATCCCTTAAGACGTGACAAACTGCCAGCCATTTCATCTAAATTCTTGTCTAGTTGCTTATTGAAATGGGACCCAACGCCGGCGATACTCGATTGGGAATGATGAAATGCATTGTCCGCCTGAGCTGTTGCTCCCTGAATATTCGAAAATGATTGGACACTTTTGCTGTAGGATGACGATGGGGAATTTAATTTGTCACCAATATTTGGTTTCGGTGCTGTTTGTGACGGCGGCTGCATATCCTTTTGACCAGCGATATAATTTTTCAGTCCACCAAAAATACTTTTCAATCCATTCAAATGTTTCTGGCTGAAACGCAACGTTTGATTAATGTCATCTAAATGCTTGTTGGTGTTCTCCAACTGTTCGCGTTGTCTTGCCAATTCTTCAGCTGTAGCGATGCCCACTTGTTCAGTTTCATATAAAAGGCCCAAACTGCGATGCGACGAAGCTAAAGTACGCTCTTCGATGGCTCTTGTTCTTTCCTGATAGCTCAATTGTTGGTCGTCAAACGGATTGGTGTTTCGGGATCGTGACGAATTCTTCAGAAATGTTTCGTCATCGATGTCATCGTCATCGAACAAATTGGCTGAATTTGCTGTATATTTGTGCCCAGACATATTTTTTTTTTCTCTTTCGTTGCACCACAAAAACTGAATCACTCCGTGCACAGTAATGAACTGAATTGATTAAGAAAACTGTCACACTGCTGAATGTTCTTTTTGTTGGCGTTTCTTTGTAGTGTTTTAACTCGAATTTATTTAAGCTTAATAAACAAAGGCTTATCTGTTGTTTGAGAGAAAAAAATACTGTCGATATGTCAGTGTATAATTGTGGAAGTGACATGTAATTGCTACACGCTGAATTGTCAAAAGTAAAACTCAACGAAGAAACTGGTCGCGGTGGGGTGATGACATTGACAACTCAACGAAACACATGTGGAACTCATTCACAGCGTTCAATTTATGTTTCTTATATCAATGGGATTCAGTTTATGTGCGAGATTCTATCACTTTTATTTTTATTTCATTTTATTTTATTTATTGATAATCTCAAGAAGATACAATAAAATATGTTTGATTAGAAAAATATAGAAAGATTTTTGAATTTTGATTCCGCACATTAAATGCTGAATGGTTCGGTTTACACCGATGAATGATTGGCAATGTATGAAAATAGCATGTAAATATAGTGTAAATGACTATGAAATAGTTTGAATTGTTCAAATTCAAACTGGAAATCAAAATTAATTTTAACCGATATATAAAACTAGAGCTGCATTTTCATCGACATGAATCCTGAATGCATGCTGCACTGCAAAATGGTAAATCGAATTTAATACAAAAACGTCCACCGATCAATGATTTGCCACACTTAGCACCAGCACAATTGAAACACGATTTATGCCAATGTGATTGTTGAAAACTGACCGCCTCTTCCTCTGGACTTATATTGCGTCGACAATTTTGGCAATTTTCCGCATAATACCTGCCGTAACAGTCCAAACATAATGGCAATTTCGTTTGATCGTCGGGTGTATATTGTTTGCCAGCCAATGGTGTGTCACAGTGATAACAACAAAAATGTTTGATATGAAAACTAGACCCTTCAGCCGAAGTGTATTCTTTGCTCCAAATGATTTCATCGCAAGCACCGCAACGCTCAAAGTTAAGTACTTCAGCCAAATCTCGGCCACAATAAATGTTACCCTGGTGATAAAAATAAACCAAATCGGCCAGAAGATCGCCACATTTATGACATGTAAAACATTTTGGATGCCAGGCGACTTCATCTCCTGCTCGATGTGCTTTTACGGCGATTGTTCCCGTTAAAATTGGTTGTTCACATGTTTTACACATCATTGCCGCCTTCGGTTCATTCAGATTACTTCTTGCGGTGGTAGAAACATTGCCCATATAATTTGAAATTGGGAGATTTTCGTAAATAGGTTGTCTCTTGAGGTTTTCGTATATCGGTTGGTTTTCGATTTGAAGATCATTTAAAAGTGACGAAATATCGTCTGGATCTGTGGATTGGGCACATCTTGATTGATCCATAGAATTGTAAACTGCTGGGCATGCAATTTCGATAGGATTTTCCATTTCCAATGCCGTAACCAAGTTTCCAATATTATTATTGAAATTTCGATCATTTCCATCAATAACCGTTGCACGAAGATCTTTTAACGGTTGCAGCAAACAACATTGTCCGTAATTGATTTTACAAGCATCCAACTTTGCAAAGAGTTTATCATAAATTCGACCATTGATAATACTGCTTTGCAATGCTTGTTGATCAATTCCAATGTTTTCCAACATTCGCTTATCGCCGGTGCTTAAATAGACGTTCCCATTGAAATCACAATCAAGCGGTCGATTTGATAAGGTCAATTTTGAATTTGGTTGTGCCGAATTTGGCTGATGAATTATATTTTGAATAGCTTTTGAGTTCATGATGAAACTTAAAATTTTATCACGTTTAATAGCATCGGGAATGGGTTTAGCCTCAACTGGTACACGGCCCATATAGCTGCTTGCATAGTTTTCATTTTTGTTATCATGTGATGATTGTAAAAATTCGATTTGAGGAACTTTAATGTCTTCAACACGCACGACCATACCTTGACCAACATTATGCTCCTTAATTTGGCCAACGTATTGTGATAGCTGCGATGCTTCTTTTTCACTCAAGTTATGACACAATGATGCATCCAAATCGTGTATGGGCACTTGATAGTTTAATCTTTCTTTGCGTTTCAAAGCTGCCTTGCTTCCTGTGATCGGAATGTTATCCGTTTCCAATTCATTCATATATTCAGCTGCCTGAAATTGAGATAAAAAAAGAATTGCCGCCATTTCTTAGTTGGATTAGAAAACTCGTTATTCAAAAACATTCAAATTTACCAATTTGGGATCAACATTTGGTGGTACCCAATCAACTCGTGTCGGCTCTGGAACTGTTTTTATGCTCACATCTAAAAATAAGTGGTATTTAATAAAACTATTCACCGTTTAAATTACAAAAATAGAAAAAAAAACAATTTAAAGAAAAATACAAGCTGGTGTTGATCGCTTCTGTCCAAGAATTTCGAACTGCATAAATCCAGCGAGATCATCATCCTTGCAATCATGTTGATCGCCTCGGCATTTACAGATTCGACATGCTTTGCGCCAAAAATGTAGATCTAATCCCGTGCAACGGTCACAATTATTACATGCAGCTCCAGCACCAAATTCATGTGCCAATTTGCCACGAACATTATCTTTGCGACTCTCCAGTTCGGCCAACCATCCCAAGGTAGGCGCAGCATCCAACTCTGGTTGAACTTTGTTCATAATTTAATACTGTTTTCTATTCAATTCACTTTATCAAAATATAAATAAACAAAATGATTTCTTCAAAATGAAACACAAATAAAGGTGAAAATAATGTTATTCTGAATGTATTTCGTAATAAAACATTTGTAAATAAAATATGATTGTCGTAAGTTGCAACAAAGCGCCGATATGACTCACCGTTTCATTGTTCTGTAACCCGTTTCAATATCAGAAATCACAAACACACATGCAATAAACGGCAATATCTTCACATTTGCTGGAACAAATGTTGATAAACAAACGTGACAATTGACACTAGTTTATTGTTTATAGCCAATTGGTCAGGGGAGGGCGTGCATGTTTTCATGATTTCAACAGTTTGAATAAACATATAAATGTTTAAAACAATTTAAAGATAAATTCTAAGATTTATGCATTTTTTCTATTTGATCGGTACACTTGATTAAATTGAATATGATTCTCGTTTTCATTGTTTATTCAACTCAACGATACGATACGTTAGGTTTAAAAATAGGGGGGATAGAGCGCTAGTTGTAACTACGACCACATGGATTTGACAGACTAAGACGACCACTCGACGAAACGTCATTTAACTCTACTAAAAACCATATTTTTTTTTTCATCCGTGAGCTATTACCTAACATTTCCATACATTTTTGCTTGTGTGAAAAGTAAGTACTGATAAAATCAATTATTCTTCAATTTTATTCAATTTTTTTCTGAGTTTTATCGAAATTGATCACATGAATTTCATAAATCATTTCATAATTTTATTTGGGGTTTTCGTGTGTTTTTTTCAGCAAGAAGGAAATAATGTTCCGATTGGTCGCTACGCAATTGTCAAAAGTTGGACACAGTGCCGTTCTCGGTCGCACTGGTGTGAATGCAGTGGCTGCACGTTTCTGTCACCCAGGAACACCCGATATCTATGATCCAAACTTTGATGCTCAATACGAGGCATACTTCAATCGTCAAGATATTGACGCTTGGGAAACTCGCAAGGCAATGAACGATTTACTTCGTATGGATTTGATTCCTGATCCAAAAATTATTGTTGCTGCATTGAAAGCATGTCGTCGTCTCAATGACTATGCATTGACCACTAGATGGTTGGAAGGTGTACATCATCGATGCGGTGGCGATGAACAAACTTGGAATTGGGTTGTTCAAGAAATTCGTCCAACTTTGAACGAATTAGGCATTTCCACACCACAAGAACTTGGATACGGTGTACCAGAATTGGCTTTGAAGCGCCCTCACGAATACTAAAACACCAGTAAGGAAATTTTCGTTTAAATTACACTTAGCAGCCAATTGTTCTTTTCATTTGAAGAAAAAAAAAAAGTAATGTATTAAATGGTGAATTAAAAAGTCAATAAATGATATCCAAGTAAATGTAAAAATGTTTGTTTTGGATTTCTTTTTTCTTACTTGAAAAACTGTGAGTATTTCCGACTTTTGATTGTGTCATTGACCTTTTTGGAAATGGGCAGAGATACTAATCCATATGCGATTCATTTTGAAGGAAAAATGGCTTAGACTCAAACTTATTCATATTAGTTGCAATGTATTCTTCTTTGTATGAGAGTATGAACAATGAACATGATATGGAACAACTGCATCATATCGAATATGCATGAGTTGACTGCACACATGCCATAGCTAAAGGTTTATGTCGTTTTCACAGTTCATTTAATGTATTGATCAGAAGTGGAAAATAGATTTTCGCCAGTCTTTCATGCGATGCTTCGCATGGCATGCGAATAACTGTGTGCAAACATGCATAAATGGATAACTGCCGCAGTATGCACTTCACTGTGTGCATCTTTGCACTACTTCTTCAACAAACAAAAAGTGGAAAATATGCTGAACTCGGAGCTGGGCAATCGTAATGCGGCCAACTTTTCGTCAGTCGATTTTAACCTCGCTGATCGTTCAGACGTAATCCTTTTTGGATCGTGTAGTGTTCACACACAAAACAGTTCTGATGCACTAAACAGACAGAGAAAAAAAAAACATCAGAATTGAATATATTAGCTTAAATTCAATAAATTAATTGCTTGAAACAGCAAATTGAGTGCCACTTTTATTGTGATTTATAATAAGTGTTGAAGGAAACAAAATAAAACTTCTACATAGAATTTAATGATTGCACAACCAAAAAAAAATTACTTGCTATAAATTTTTCACTGTTAACATATTCCAAGTTTTCGATAAATAAGCAGGCAAAAAACGCGAGCTTTCTTTTACAATGTAGACTATTTTAAAATATTCTACTGATTTTGTGATGTTCCCATGAAATTCGGGTTGAGAAAGAGAAAAAAAGAAGAAAAAAACAACTTTATTTCACTTAACTTATTGGATATTTAATGAAGTGTGAAACATTCTAGTGAAATCGAAATTTTTTCATAACACTAAACACTTGATCAGTTTAAAGGATTACAGGATGGTTGACGCCGTTGTTCAAAAATCGGTAAGTAACATATCGTGAAAATTGCACGATTATGTAATGCAGAAGACCTATTTTTCGCCACATCTCCATCACCATGCACATCGATTCACGATGGTGCATTTGGAACATGCGTTGTTCTATTTTCAAAAATTTCTATGCGAAACGAAAAGGCAACTGACATCGAAATGACTGTTTGACCCAGTTTCAAATGTGGATGGAAGAAGACATTGGAATTCATACACAAGTTCTCCCATACACACGCAGCATGCTTGGGTCATACAGCCAACCCGCTGAATTTCAAATGGGAAATTGGGGCGTTTTTTTTGTTCTTTTTTTCTAATAAGGGTTTTATGGGGGAATTTAAATTTCTCAACCAGTTAATGAGATTTGGAATATCGTATGATTATCACTGTGCGATGAGTACGATTATTGATTAAGTAACTATCTCGAGTCGCATCAACGTCTTATAGAAATATGATAGCCCATTTAATTGGGCTATTAATCAACGATATTCCTAAGTTCACTTTGAAAATTTCTAGTTCGTTTGACGTGGTTTCACAATCAATAGATTTGTGTTAATAGGCCTGACTACGCCTTGAATTGTTATCGTTGGGAATGATTAACTGACGGCCTGAGAGTGAAATAATAACCTACAAGATGTATTTACAGAAGTATAGAATAGAAACAAAAAATGCGAATAAGTATATTGTAAATTTTCTGAGCGCAAAAACCAAACCTGCCTATTAGGATCGACCAATCTAGTAGGCAGGTTTGGTTTTTGCGCTCAACATTTGTGTGACGAACGACGTTTGTGTGTTTGGTTTTTGCGCTCAGAAAATTTACAATATACTTATTCGCATTTTTTGTTTCTATTCCATACTTCTGTAAATACTTCTTGTAGGTTATTATTTCACTCTCAGGCCGTCAACTGTATTTGGTTTTTATGTTGATATCTACATTCATTGTGAAAATGTAATTGAAATAGGAATTATTGTTGAGGGACGAAATCACTTCCTTGAAAAATTTCATTTTCTTCGTTTCTTTTCAAGAAGAAACAATATGAATAAAATAAAATGAAGAAAATCCAAAGGAAGAATATTTTATATTAATGAAATATACATATTTATAAACATCTTTGGGGAGAACAACTAGTATAGGCAGAATTCATTATTTATTTTTTCGAACTGAAACTACGGTTAAAATCAAAATGTACAATCGAATCGTGTAGATGGAGACGGTTGAATATTATTTATTTCACTTGAATGTCATATATGATGTACATATGCGTACATATTTAGAAGTTAGCGTGTAAAATTAAAATGAAATGTGAAATCAAATCTGGAAAATTATTATTCCATACACCGACAAGAATAGATTAGCAAATTGATGTTGATAGAAAGTTTATGGAAACGATCGATTAAACAGTAATGCAGAGAGCATGTGAAGAATTTCAACTGAATCATTGAAAAATGCATTCAGCCGGCAAGAATGGTGGAAAAACGAAGCAATAAAAAATATGACCAAATAGCGCAAACAAAAACGAGCCAACAAAAAAGTGTGTAGAACCAGAAAAAGGCAGTAGAAGTGCCATTTTTGCTATTCACTTATAATTACAAACACACCGCTGGTTGCTTCTTTTTTGTTCATGTTTCTTCAATACAATTCATCAACATTAATATAACATCTATTCAAGAAAACATTGGACGTAGAAAACAATGCGAATGGCGAAGGTATTTGTCGAAATGTTTGCGGCATATATGATTTCATCTATGAAAGCGGGTACGTTTGTGTACGTTGTACATGTAAGCAGCAGGCACGTGAAATGAGCCAAATAAGCTTCGTTTCCATGCGACGCACATTCATACTAACACATGGTCGTTACACACACAAGAACATATAGTGTGTGTGTTTTTTTTTTCTTTACTGAAATGTTTTTTTTTTTTGTTTCCATTGAATTACTGGTCCCAAAGGAAAACTATAATAAATGATTGTTTTTATGCGTAACTGAACGAAACGTCCGTTCGATATGTTTGTGCATGTGTGTATGAGCGTGCCTACGTATGTGAGTAGCGTGTGTGTGAATGTGAATGACGTGAACGCGGTGCGAGAGAGAGAGAGAGAGAGAGAGAGAGAGAGAGAGAGAGACAGACAGACAGAGTGTGTGGACGAGAGCGCGGTAGGTATGTGTACGGCGTTCGCGTCCGTATGGTTAAGCATCAGAAGAGGTAAGCGCTTCAATCTCGATTGATCCGTAGTTGTGCTCAGTGGTGCTTTGAATGTAAGTTCAACTCAATTCCATTTCGTTGTACAGAATTTTTTAAAATTCATTCTGCGTTCTGTACTAGTAACGCAATTACGGGCCACTGTAACTCGAGAGAGAAAGAAAAAAGTGAAGAGTGTAGTTTTCTTTTTCCAGAACGAATCTATGTTCTCATTTTTTTGTTGTAAATTTCTGACTTATTATTAAAAGTGTAATTATTGCTGTGTTTAATTATAGATTGGTTGCGTAATAATTGAATCAAATAGAACAGTGCCCAAGTAAAATGAGCATTGGAAATACGCTCATTTAATAATGAAACAAGAGAAATTACAGTTTTAGTGGCGTGTCGATTGGCACATAAAGTGGGATGAATTGGTTATTTTATTGGCATTTTTGCAAGTGAAAGACAACAACACACATCACACACTGTATAGCGACACAAACAATATAGGAACTGAGAATAGTACCAAACTTAGTGTCATGTCGTCGTATAATATACGCGATTGACCATAAGTACGCAGTATTTCGTGTACCAAAATTAGCTTATTACGAAGCAAAAATGTGCCTGTTCCGAAAATAATTGTGTGTTTTTTTCGCTGCATTTTTTTTTCATTCTCAATGTTTCAAAAAACAAATAATTATTTGGCATATTATACAATGTGAACAAAAGGCAAAACAAACGAATTGAAGTGAATAAGAACGAAACAAAAATGATTGAAATAACTATTGGGATAGTTGAGAGTGCGCGTATATGTCTGACGATGATATTTTAAGAATGCACAACGTTTTTTTTTTTTCATCTTCTCTCCGGTGTCTGAATGATTTCTTGTGCTCGTATTTGTTGAAATGATACATCTAAAAACTCACAACAAAGTAGCTAATTAAATCGAAAACTGCTCCTTGATAGGGCACTCTAAAACGGCTCAACGCTGTTTATTTCCATCCATATGTTTTTCATTTTGGAAGATCTTATGAGATTCTTCCGTTTTCATGGAATAAACGAGTTTTTTTTTATTTCCTTCCTCGTCGTTTAGCATATATGAGTCGACCAAAGTGAAATTTCGACACAAAAGCAAACACAAAATACCTAAATAATCCAGAATATAAAATAAAAGTACACGGTAGAAGCATTTCAATTCTATAGGCGAGCAACACCAAAATAAAACACATAAATACATAAATTTCGAAGAGAAGCGGTTCTTGTGCGGTTCCAAAAAAAAAGTTAAACTAAAAATAGGAAATGAATGTTGTTAAAAAGAAATTTCCATCGCTTCAAACTCTCGGTGTAAGTTTATACCATTTCAACAGGCCATAATGCAATGCCCTCCCGAAAATAATATTGAACGTCTAACAAATAATTCACATACGTGTGTTGCATCTTGTTTTTGTGTGTTCGTGTTCTCCTCTAATATTTTTAACTCTCGAAAACTATTCAAGTTGTTTACTTGGTGTTCTGATATCATTTCATTTCATTTTATTTCCATTCAATTCGACAATGATTTTGCGTAAATCGAATACATAGTTGTTGTTTTTTCTTCCCAAAGACGTGATGTGTATACAATACTTAATACTTATATTTATATCATAACGTAACCCGTTATCATGTGTTAACTGATTAAGAGTGTTGAACATTTATAATATAATTCATTGCGAAGACATTTCAATTTGATATAGAAATATGAACTGAAAAGATTATAAATCAATTGAATATACGTGAAGATTTACTGGGTTGATAAAAAGAGACAGCCCACAACAATTAAAAGATTACGTCAAAAATGGGACACAGTCCGGCCAGCAAATTGCATTAACTAGAATTTAAATGAGCTATAAAACAATGAATGTTGTGTGAATAGAATTTTTAGTCATCGGCATTCATTTGATTGGTCGCCTCTTATTTTTGAAGCAATGCATGACTCACCCAATATAAACGAACGGGTATAATTGGTATGCAAATGTTTAATGTAATGTAAAATTTAATTTACTCCAATTCAAGAACAATTGGAAAATATGTGAATTCCAAGAAATGACTAGAAAAATGCGTGATGTCTTTTTATTTGTGCTCAGTACAGTTGGTCATATGTGAACGATATATACGTATATATGTATGATGCGATGAAAACTGAAGAGATTGTTCTGTGTCTAGTAGCTAATAGATAGGTTTCTAATTTTGGTACTTGAGTATAGAATTTAACGGCATAATAAACAGGCTCCGAATATCGGCATCAAAAAAACACAAACACTCTTTAGTATGGGATACTCTCATTGTACATGTTTCATTCCATTGGGTTTTGCGACCGAGAGCAACGTCAATATATCAACGACAACAGCAACAGCAGCAGCAGCAGCGTCGTTGTTGTCGTAGCTGATACACGTTCCATACACACGCCATATATACAATCGAAAGCAAACCGATCAGTTGAAAATAAGTACACGAATTCCATTTATGCAATAGTGGTTTTGATTAAGACTAAATTTTTTTAATGGCATTTTCTTTACTTTTATGGTTGAGAGAAGCCATGTTTTTCGTGCTTCTTCTCTCTTTTGCTATCTGATTTTCATTTGATTTCTTATTTGTTGTTTTTTTTTGGCATCAACATACTTACGACTTGAACTCAATAAATCGGTTCACTATTTCTTGCATCACATTGGTATACAATGCGTATTGCTCTTTTCTTTTCGTTAGCTTCATCTTCTTTATTTTCAATCTTCTTCTTTAGATCTTTCGTTTTCGAAAGGAAATGCGACTAATTGAATGTAAATACCTCATCTAAAGGCTATCTAATAAATTGCTATCATTTGCAATTGTACAATGCAAACTAGATTGGCGATTCAGTTGAATTTTATGTGTATTTTTGTTTTCAAACCGACAAAGGCAATATAGGCTAGGTGATCTCATCGTTTATCGTGAATGCACGTATTATCTATGCCATCGTAAAAAAATGTGAACAAATAGAAGAATGAAAGGAAAACTTCAATAGCTCAAACAATCGTCGACGGTTCAATGGGTATTTAATGAGGAATCCACTTTTCCATTTCAAATGTGCAAAATGAAATGAGCCTTATAAAACAATTCAAAATCCAAAGATAAAGACAAACCAAACCGAAAATTCGTTTTATGCGGTAATATTTGCACATTTATTCTGATTATGTGACGAATGTGGTTTCGATGCGTCAAATGTCAAAATCACACGGCAAAAAAAAATGAGATTCCAGTTCTGCGAGAGTCGAAAACGAGAGGCAACAGACTGGATATCTTGTTTTTCCTTGGTGTGCAGCTAAAACGTGTAGGTGATGAACATAAATTAGCATTGCCAAAATAACCAATGAAATATTATTATACAGGTGAAGTCAGCCGATGTGATAATTGATTCTCGCACATTTCGCAACTTGATTCTTGAGCCGGTTATACTGCACGAACAAATCGAAGGCACTTTGAATCTGAATCCGAATATAATAACACTGTGCGATATTCCACTTTCGGATGCATGATAATTTTATTTGATTCAATTATCAAGTGCTTCTTTCAATTCTTACACAATAAAATCGAACATGATCAAGTTTCTTTGGGTTCTCTATCGTTCTCTCTCACTCTTTTTCAAAACGATCGCGTTCAGAAGTAATTATATTGCATCAAAGTCTTCGATTTCAGTCGAAAATTGATCGGACAAATTACAACTGAACACGACCGTCAATCATTCATAGTCGGTTGGATTACAAACCAGTTTCGTTGTATTTCCGAAGCAAATAAAAGCGATCAAACCAACGAAACACTTCCGCAACGGTTTTTTCTCTGCGGTAAAGCCATACCAAAAAATGTCTTGAACCAACTTGTCAATGGGCCTATACACGTTTTCAATTGTTCTAAATTGGGCCTGCTCATAATAATTACGATATTTAATTGCTATCAAATCGTATGTATCTTGCTCAATGCGTGATTTTTTTTCTTCATCTGTTGCTGTTTCCATGATGATGTAATACAGCAACAGAATTTTAGTCACGTTCACACATACGCGTCCACATCGATGGACATACAAGCACAGTCATGGCGTGTATGTATACATATTACACTCACACACATTGTGATTATTTGTCTATTTCCATTGTTTCAAGGTTTTTTGTTTTCATTCGCCACACATTGGTTGTTATAAGCTGCGTATTATGTAACAAACGAAATTCTAACGATGTTGGAATTCATTACCACGAATCGAAAGATCGCATTGAGCAAACAAAAGTGAGTAGCAAGCAAATATGAGTATTCACCATAAAATAATAACTACAACGGCTAGTGAAGAAGATACAAATCTTTTGTATGGCTCTGGGTTCAAAACACTTTTGAACTGCCGCATTCCATTTCGCTAGCAATTATTATGTAGTCGACGAAACAAAAACGTTCATTGTGGCACTGAATTTTCAATTTATGCACACAGATGCATACAGCCCCGCAATGCATTCAGCCGTCTGTATAAACATATTTTTTGCATGGAAAAAGTTAATGATCCCAATAGAAAGTCATTTTTCCATTGAATGTAACGCAGACGCGGCATTTTGCATTACAAAAGCCGACCGTACAATCTACGGCAAATGAATAAAATGAAAAAAGCGACAGCTCAAGAGATTAAAACATAATACGATGCAACCTATTGGCATTACTTGTAAGAAGAAGCCTTTTAAATGATAAAATGTATCGGCATTATTCCACCAAAATGAAAGAGAATAAAACAACAAAATATAGAATTGCGAAGAAAAGCATATAGAAGTATCGCATGCTTTTATCAATTCGCAATGTCATTTCGGTTAACCTATAGCACAGCAGTGGAACGGGTTTCGTGTGCAACTTTCGCATATACATGCATATCCCCAGCTATACACAAACACAGTATACACGCAAGAGAAAAAGCCGCAAAGCGGCTCCATAATCATCTCTCTATTTACAAACATCGGCGTTTGTTTCACTGTCACGCGACATTCTCTCGCTCGCTCTGACCTTTACACATCGCTATTAACAACGATGACGGCATTCATTGCGACGGCGCCGAACCATTCTAGCACTAATACCATGGACGGTATGCATTATGATGAGATCACCATGTATACGTACATGCCAAAAACTACCCCTTACGAAATACACCCATAAATGATGGTGAAACTATCCACTTTCTGTATAGTTCGCTTCAGTCTTCGACGAATCCTTAAACTGAATGGTTCCAAACAAAATAACGGGAACAATTTATAGCTTTTCACCACAAGAAAATTCTAGTCTAACATTGCTTCATAACTGTGCTGAATAGATCATTCGACAAATAGAATTATAGCTTATTTAAATTTTAGTGTGTTTTTTCCAAATAAGAAAATGTAACCGAATTCATCATTTTTTTTCTTCGCTTTTAAAAAATTTGCTGAAATTAGCTAAAATTATCGCGAAAATAAATCGAGAAAAAATAATAATTTTCGATTGAAGTGCAGACATATTTGTTGTAACAAGAAAAGAATAGGAATACGACCTTGAGATGGTCACCGAAAATGGAATTCAGGTAAAGCAATTTTTCTTCTTTATTTTATCATTCAATATTTTTTATTTGTATTTTTATTTCATTCGTGAAAAAATTAAGATTTTCAGTTGACTATTGGTGAGAAAATTCGACAGAATTTTCTTACCCTTCACAGACATCGCCCACCATCTTGTTTTTCACTCACAGAAAATTATCGATTATTTCATAATGAGCTTCTAGCAAAGGGAAAACCTATGAAATCTCTTGTTATTTTCAAAGCAATGTCTATTTTTATTATGGAAATGACGAAATAATTATAATATCAAGGTTAATACATTCGGACGAAAATCGACTGAATGTTGAAAAAAAATTTCATTTGCCGCAATTCGATCGATAATTTCATAGCAATAGGGCAGATAAGGAAACGCTATCAAATATGGCGGTGGCTCGACCAAAAGAAGAAAAAAAAACTCTGTCTAGCTTTAATACTTTTTTGCCAAGTACCCCACGAAAAAATTGTTCAAACGCGTCAATTCTGTAATGGCGTGCCAATTGCCCAAAAAATTCCATTTAAATTGGAAAATAGCCATTTTTCTTGTACGGAAAAGGCAAAATGATGACATCACAATTGGATAAAAAAAAACCTATATGACAAGTTCTTCAAATTGGCCTATGAGGATATACTCGCGCACGCACACTACAACAAGTGATTCGACAGTTTCACCAATTGCCCTCTTCCGTAATATCAACTATTTGTATGGGAACCGGTTTCGAATAGCGAATGTTCCGAGTAATACCAAAGTTGAAATTATGGAAAAGGGCTGTGCGTGCCGGGTGTGTGTATTGTGCATTGGGGAGTCGGATATTGATGTGGTAACAAGTGCACAACACAATCAAAACACTGCTAGAATTTTTCTAGCAATTGTAAAGCATGCGCATACCGCACCCAAAAATCACATGAGGGGTTTATTTGTCTTTTTGTTATGGTCTCGTTTGGAATATTTGGAATTCTGTTCATTAATACATAACAGCACGACGACGTTTCCCTATGACGTGATATACTTCATGTACGGCAGTAACGTTGTGTGTTGCCAGGATGTCTGGCTCGCCACTGTTCTACATTCACCCGAAAATCGTGTATTATATTAATTAGTTGTTGAGTTTTGTCGAAATAAAATTGGGGTTCGATGTTAAATGACATGTAGTTGATCGATGCATGACCGAAAACAAAGTGCACAACCCTATATGCACTGTGATGGCGAACATTTATGAGGGTGGTTTTCAGCGTAACATAAATAAACAATAAAAATTCGTTGGAACCCTTATTAATGTTTTTCGCGTCGAGATGAAATGATTTTAGCGGAGAAAAGTCATTTAAGTACACATACATGCGTATGTGTTATTGCCATTTATGCTTCCAGATGCATCTCGTGTAAATGCAAATAAAATTACACCCAAATCTTATGGTAAATCATTGAGTTGAAGATATATTTCAGCATCTGCAAATAACGACCATTTGGAGTGACTATTTTCGCTTTAAATCTATCTTCTTTTTTTCGGTTCGTCAAATATAGTCACATCAACACATTGCACACATCACATTCGCTTTAATGGAATTTAAGTTCTAATCAAGATCAATTTTTTTTAATACTTTATTTCACTCAATTCGTCGTTGATCCGATCGGTGTCATATGAATTAGTCGAGTACATCTGTAGCGTTCAGTCTTCGTTTTATGATGCAAACAGAAAAAAGTTGAGTTGATTTTTTATTTTATTTTGGTCGCGTTTTAAAAATGTCACCTAATGGCCAGAGAGTAGAAATCAACAATTTTGTAGCAACATTTTTTGTATGCCATCATATGAAGTGAAGCGCGTTGCATATATTTCGGTATACTTATAAACAGATATGAATGTGTATTCATCCGTGCACATTGCACAGGGTGTGGTGTTGAGTGAACAAAACCAAACATTTCTAACTATATTTAACCGGAGCAGACATTCGGCGAGAGTGTTTTTTTTTTTTGGCGTGAATTCAGGATTGTGCCGCGGCAGCATGTGTATGTGTGTGAATGACGTGTCGGGATATTTGTTGATTGCTTCGCTAATGAGTGAGTTTATTTTTGAACACATGCAGAAAACGGATACGCCCGCGTTGCTTTGCCGCTGCCATCGTATCATATGAACTCCAAACAGTTATATCATACACATGATATAGTTTTATCCTTGACTATTCTTCATGCTCTATATTTCGGAGCAAGTGATTTATTTTCCATTTATGTGCTGTTTATTCTCACCAATTCCCCTATTTATTTCGACTCCAACATTGCGAATACGCTGAAAAATGGCCAAATGTCACGCTACATTGTTTACGTTCTATCTCTGTTCGGTGTACGGCTTTGTTTTGAACACCGTTTTCTTTTTTTGGCAAGAATTTACGCAATCGCTGTGTGTTTTTGTCGGTATAGATTTCTAGAGGCAAAAAAACACTTCCGCATCAAATTCTTTTAAGATGAATTTCAGCAATATGCGATTAGTTCTTTTTTCTTCAAATCTCAAAGAACCGTATCAGAATGTTTTTTGCTCGCAATCTATTTAATCATTGTTTGATATGAGTATGAGCAGACAAGTAAATTATTACTTCCCATTTAGTTCAGTGTGCCGTCACACAAGATTCCACAATTCAACATTAATTTGGAGAGAAACAAGTCACAATGGAACCCACAAAATAAAAAAAATTATATTCGTACTATGTTTGGTTTGGTTTGGTTTAGTTATGAATTTTATATATGTGGTAGTCAACGATCAAATTGAACAATGGCATTGTGTTGCCGCAATTACACGCAGTACATACTTCCGTTTGAAGCATTGCTTCGAAGCGAATTGTTAATTTCTGTATTAGTTTATACTTTGGGTGCCCCTTTTTTATTTAATACACTTTCCAACACCTATATTTCAATAGGCAGATTGTTTTGCGTGTCAAAGATGCTACGTAAATACAAATCAATTATTTTACTTTGTTACGCAGAATCATTTTCACCGTTTCTGCTTTATTTCTGTACACTGCATGATGAGAGTAACTAAACAAATTCAACAAGTTAAAATAAAAATTGCTGCGGAATGTGCTGGGTAATGCCAAAAATAATTTTGTAGGCTTGCGCCTTCGCATTGCGTGGAATTGTTCTATTGAACGAAAGTTATTTCCTGATTTTCTGTTAACAAATAATTGTGGCAAGAAGTTTAAAGTCGTGTTGATCATTTTTGTGTTAGTTCAATACTTACTTACTTAAATGAAACGCCTGCAGGCGTTTAGCATGTTCAAAGAGGAAACTTTGATTTAATAAAAAAAAAACCATTCAAAACACTCTCAATTTCAATTTGTTCAATTTTTATTTTCAGTCGGATGGAAACACATCATTCCTGCGTGCCGCACGAGCCGGAAATCTCGATAAAGTGCTTGAGCATCTCAAAAATAATATTGATATAAACACATGCAATGCTGTGAGTATTGAGTCACTTATTATTTTCGCTCATTTTCACGACGTATCGAAAATGAGAGAATTAAATTCAACGCTCTGACATACGTGTGTATAAATTATGTTGCTGTATTTAATTTTAGAATGGCTTGAATGCGTTGCATCTGGCGAGCAAAGACGGACACGTGCACATAGTGTCCGAGCTACTGAAGCGTGGTGCGTCCGTTGACAATGCAACTAAAAAGGGCAACACAGCCCTACACATAGCATCATTAGCTGGCCAAGAAGAAGTCGTTAAACTTTTACTGCAATATAATGCATCAGTTAATGCACAATCACAAAATGGATTCTCACCCTTGTACATGGCTGCACAAGAAAATCACGACTCCGTAGTAAAACTGTTACTTGCAAATGGCGCCAATCAAAGTTTAGCCACCGAAGATGGTTTCACACCATTGCTAGTGGCAATGCAACAAGGGCACGATAAAGTCGTCGCCGTTTTGTTAGAAAGTGACACCCGTGGCAAAGTTCGATTACCAGCCTTACACATCGCCGCAAAAAAGGATGACGTACGCGCTGCGACGCTTTTACTCGAGGTAAGCTCTACATGGTTATATCATTCAAATAATTTCGTTCAATTAGATTTATGAAATGATCCACAAAAATATGCTTGTATCTATGTGTGTCTATTTTAGAATGATCATAATCCTGATGTCACATCTAAATCTGGATTCACACCACTACATATTGCAAGTCATTATGGAAATGAAGCGATTGCCAACTTGCTCGTTTCAAAAGATGCTGACGTCAATTTCCCGGCCAAGCATAATATTACGCCATTGCATGTGAGCTGCAAATGGGGCAAAGCGAATATGGTGGCGTTGCTATTGGAGAAGGGTGCAAATATCGAAAGCAAAACCAGAGACGGACTCACTCCATTGCATTGTGCCAGCCGCTCAGGACATGAACAAGTTGTTGATATGCTATTGGAACGTGGTGCACCAATTAGCGCAAAAACAAAAAACGGCTTGGCTCCATTGCATATGGCTGCCCAGGGCGAACACGTTGACGCTGCTCGCATCCTTTTGTATCATCGCGCCCCAGTCGATGAGGTTACTGTTGATTATTTAACTGCACTTCACGTTGCATCTCACTGCGGTCATGTTCGTGTCGCTAAGCTATTGTTGGATCGAAACGCTGACGCAAATGCACGTGCACTCAATGGATTCACACCATTGCATATTGCGTGTAAAAAAAATCGCATAAAGGTCGTTGAGTTATTGCTGAAACATGGTGCTAGCATTAGCGCAACCACTGAAAGTGGTTTGACACCGTTACATGTTGCTAGTTTCATGGGATGCATGAATATTGTTATATATTTGCTGCAACATGAGGCCAGCCCAGACGTTCCGACCGTTCGCGGCGAAACACCATTACATTTGGCTTGTCGTGCCAATCAGGTAAATATTAGAGTGAACTGATCCAAAACTGTTCGTTCAGTAATAAACCTACGTGTATAATTTGATGTTTATTCACTCCCTGTTCATTTTTTTTTTGTCGATTTTACTTTACCAAGATTCCTTTATTCTCGTTTTCTTTCCTTCAATTCACAGACCGATATTATTCGAATTCTTTTGAGAAATGGTGCTCAGGTTGATGCCCGTGCGCGTGAGCAACAAACTGCCTTGCATATTGCATCTCGCTTGGGCAACGTTGACATTGTTATGCTTTTATTGCAACACGGTGCTCAAGTTGATGCCACCACAAAGGATATGTATACTGCTCTGCATATTGCATCGAAGGAAGGCCAGGACGAGGTGAGCAATCTCATTGCAAAAAAGATAATGGATCACATTGATACCATTTATTCGATGCAATTGTTTTGGATTCGACACAAAGAGTTCTTTATTTGATTATTTTCTTTTAAAAATACAAAGCGAAGGCAATAAGTCGATAAAGTCGTTTAGAGTTCTTTCTAGTTGTAGCTTTTATGTATGTATGTCTCTGGTTATTTTTTATTTACGATTTCTTTCATGTTTACGGTTACGATGATGATTCATTCACATTAAATTTTTTGTTATTATGATAACCGAAAGCAGACATTTATTTACGTTTGTTACGTTATATTTGTACGCACACACAGGTTGTAAAGTTTATCGGAGTGTTTAAAATGTCATATTTTGTAATTATTATTCTGATTAATAAATTACAAAATCTGGAGATGAAAGACATTTTTCATTTATTTTTTTCGTCAAATTTTGTTCTAGCCTAGAAGTTTTCGATAATTTTCACAGTAGTAAATTGTAAAAAAAAAAATGCACATACGTTTGAAACACTGTCATTTCCATTCCAAACAAAGAGACTTCTTCATTCTAGTCATGTTACACATGTCCATAAATTCCAATACATACTATTTGATAGACGCTTTTTTTTTTGAATACCTTAACCATTATTTTGATTTTTTATCGTTTTCTTTTTGTTGATGTGAATCCAATAACAACTGATATAATTAGCTAACAATTCGTTTTTTTTGTTGTCTGTTTTACAAACTAACATCAAACCAAATATTAACATATTTCCCCAGGTGGCAGCCGTTCTGATTGAAAATGGAGCATCGCTCGAAGCCAGCACCAAGAAGGGATTCCAACCCTTGCATTTGGCCGCTAAATACGGCCACATGAAAGTGGCTGAACTATTATTGCAAAAGGGGGCTCCAGTTGACGCGCAAGGAAAGAATGGAGTAAGTTTTATTTGCTTGAATTTGGGGGGAAAATGTTCGAATTTGCTTACTAATGGCTTATTCTTTCTTTTTTCCAAATTTAAAGGTCACACCACTTCATGTCGCTAGTCACTATGATCACCAAAATGTTGCATTGCTTTTGTTGAACAAAGGAGCAAGCCCTCATGCAACTGCTAAAAATGGACATACTCCATTGCATATTGCGGCCCGCAAGAATCAAATGGACATTGCAACCACTTTATTGGAATTTGGTGCTCAGGCTGACAGCGAAAGCCGTGCTGGTTTCACTCCATTGCATTTGAGCAGCCAAGAAGGGCACGTTGAAATGTCAAATTTGCTGCTCGAACACAAAGCCAATCCAAATCATCAAGCTAAGAACGGTTTGACACCATTGCATCTGTGCGCACAAGAAGATCGCTCGAATGTTGCACAAATTCTTGTTGATCATGGCGCCAATGTCAATACGAAAACCAAACAAAACTATACTCCATTGCATATGGCTTCGCACTTTGGCCAATTGAATATGGTTCGCTTTTTATTGCAAAATGGAGCCAATGTGAATTCAGACACTGCAATTGGTTACACTCCATTGCATCAAGCAGCTCAGCAAGGTCATTTGCATATTGTCAACGTGTTGCTAGAACACAAAGCAAACCCAGATGCTGTTACATCGGTGAGTTGAACAAATTCCAATTGAAATTATATCGCTGTTTTCAGCTTATGGCAACTTCTATTGATTATGTTTATGTTTCGGTTCACAGCAAGGGCAAACACCGTTGTTTATTTCGCAAAAATTGGGTTACATTAGTGTTGTTGAATCACTGAAAAATGTAACACAATCACCAAAAGATCAAATGCAAACGTCGGTCAATGAAGGTGAGAAGTATAAGGTTGTTGCTCCAGAGGCAATGCACGAAACCTTCATGTCTGATTCGGAAGAAGAAGGTGGTGACGATGCTAACACGGATCATCCATATCGGTATCTAACCGTGGATGAAATGAAATCGTTGGGAGACGATTCATTGCCCATTGATGTTACGCGTGACGAACGCATCGATTCCAATCGAATGGCTGCTTCGACCGATTCAGGCAACATGAATTTATCACAGCATGAAGATAGCATTACACCACAGAACGTCACTCAAACACACGCTGTTCTCGATGGAAAATATGCCATTGACAACATTAAAATCGAAAGACATCCCGAGCAAATCGGGTAAGTTGCAATTCATTTTTAACATAGTTACTAACAAAACCACAAAAATGAATTTCAAACTGTTCATGCTTCACTTTCAATAACTAATCACTAACAAACACCGACCATTTCTATCTCTAAATAAAATTTGCCTACACTCTGTGGAACAAACAGAAAACTACACTGGAAGAAGTAAGTCGCAAAGTTTTCTCGAACACACACACACATATTTTCACTTCAAAATTGTTGTGTAACGATTTTTTGTTCCCGTTCTTTTTTTCTACTCGCTTTCATTCTTTTTTTCGCATGTATCTTTTTATGTGTCTATCTGTCCTTCACTGTTATGTGACCTGAATATTATTATATAGCGAACTTTCTTTTAGCTTTTTGGTATCCTTTTTGGTCGACGCACGCGGAGGAGCGATGCGAGGATGCCGACACAGGTAATAAAGAACGCTAAATAAATGGCCAATCACATATACTTTTTTCTATGAAACGTTAAAATTCCTCTAAATTTTTTATATTTTACAGTGGCATCCGCATTATCGTACCTCCTCGTTCGGCTGCGCAACCTACCCGTATAACGTGTCGTTATGTGAAGCCACAACGAACGTTGCACCCGCCGCAGCTAATGGAAGGCGAAGCACTGGCCAGTCGAGTACTCGAATTAGGGCCAGTTGCAGCCAAATTTATTGGACCGGTTATCATGGAAGTGCCGCATTTTGCATCACTACGTGGGAAAGAGCGTGAAATTGTGATTCTGCGCTCAGACAATGGGGAAACCTGGCGTGAGCATCAAGTTGAAAACAGCGACGAAATCATTCACGACACGCTTACCGAATATTTTGAACCAGGAGGTATGAATTGTGACCGAATCCGAATTGAACAGAAGAAGAATGGATATAGTAATTTTCTTATTCCGATTTCAATAGATATAAATCAAATGGATGAATCGTCTGGTGGACGCATCTGCCGCTTTGTCACCTATGATTTCCCACAATATTTCGCTGTTGTATCGCGTATTCGTCAAGAATTACATGCTATTGGCCCCGAGGGAGGTGTTGTATCGAGTACGGTGGTGCCACAAGTACAAGCCGTGTTCCCACAAGGTGCACTCACCAAAAAAATCAAAGTCGGCCTACAGGTAAATCTTTTCAAACCGCGTAAAGGTGTTGCACCTGAAAATTTACGAAAAATCAGCGTCAATCATGTACCAAAAAAGAAGAAATTTTTTCTCATTTTCTGAGATGTTGATTCGAGTCATTTGCTGTTGGTTTCATTCATTTGGTGTTGGTTTTATTCAAATTAAAAAAAAAAAAAACTTAATTTAGATTTGCACAATTTTCTTTTGATGAATTGAATGCGATGAGTATTGTGCGCGGATATTCAGCAGCTCGGTTTGATTTTTTTTCTCTTTCTTCTGTTCTTGTTCAACACTGCGGTTGAATTTTAGTTTCAATTAGATTTGCAACTCTTTTTTCTCATTTAACCTGCGACATGTTCAAAGAAAAGAATGTATGCGGTGGAATTGATTCTTACTTCTCGTCGTTAAAACGGTACCATCGCTGTGACGTCTGTTGTTTACAGTCGCTATAATAATGGCCAGTAACGGTAGTTGCTCCTACGAATAATGGAAGAATCCATCATTTTTGTATTTAAATATTCAAAACATTTTCATACACTTACCTTTGTGATGGACAACGTCATACAACGAGTATTTCACTGTCTTAGAGTGAACTGCATATGGCGTCATATCCAATCCAGCCGCATTTGTTGAAAACTCGATAATATTTGTCAATTTGTCCAACGTTGTTACGGAGAAACGTTTCAAGTCTATGAGTTGGAAAGGAAATAAAATATTATTATTTATGGCACACATTAGAAATATCAATCAAAACATACGTAAAACAATGGTTTGAGGCAAGTGCTGGAATGATCAAGTTTTGTTGTGTTTTCTATTGATTCCACATTTGGTACAGTGTGCTTCGACTTCCTCTCCTCGAATGTATCATGTGCAAACTAAAATTTTGCGATACCGTTAATCTGAAAAAAATAAGAAAACCACACAAAGAATCGATTCTTTTCGAACCAAAACAAAATAAAAGCAACCTATCTGAATGGATCAGCATATCCTTGTTGTAGTTTTTTCTCTTTCTTTCATTCTCTTCATTTCATTGTTTTAAAATCTGAAAAGAAAAAAAAAAACAAAAATGATTTGAATGAGAACAAGCCAATAAAATTGTTGATTGTTGATAACTATGTCTATCATCGTCTGTCTTTAGTTTAGCACATGTCAGCATAATTTGAAGAAAATACCAACAGTTAAATGTACACAAAAATAACCTCACCAGAACAAGCACGTGTGCATGTGTAAGTGTGTGTAATACGAGCTCGCTCTCTGTCTCAACACTTGACAGTTTGAGTAGTCGCAGTGTTGCCCGTTGCCATTGTTTTTGTACGGATTGATTCGTACCAATTTGTTCGGTGTTGAAATGCTCAACGTCAAATGCAACCGTTGATGTTTCATTCTTTGGTAAACAAATCAAATTACAGTTACAGAAAAAAGCACGATTTTCAATGCGATGCGGTGACACACACACACACAAACAAACGATTCAACATCGATTCAGAAAACAGAAAACCTGCTTCTCACTTATGCTTTCAAACTCTTGGGTTCCGGGACAATATTTCATTTCATTTCATTCTCACACTTTCAGTTTCATTTTCAAATAGATGCCGCCGAAATTAGACGTGAGATTTTTTTTGATTTTCTAACATTTTCGATCCAAAAAAAAAACAATCGAGCGTCTAAGTTCAACGGTAACTAATGCTTTCTTTTCTTTGCAAATTGAAAAGGCGTACCTTCAGTACAATAACAATTCATTTATGATCAAGGCAATGATTCAAAATCGTCCATTAAATCAGGAAGAGCAAAAACACATTTTTTTTTTACAAATACCATTATCGCCAAACCCTACGATCTAGTCACTTTTTATTTACAACAATTAGAATTAGCAATTTACATGTGGTACACAGTACACTTTTATACAAGATGCATTTCGCTTTAACGAAGTACGAACACATTTATCGGAAAAATACATTTTGAAAACATTTGCATGATAAAATGGATTTTTGGATGTACAGTGCAACGCATGAAAAACAAAAATGGAATAGAACATAACAAAACACCTGTTGATTACTAATTTAATTAACAAATAATATTTAGTACCAATATTAACACATTAATTTAAACAAAAATAAGTTTCAACATTCACATCAAATACTCAATTTATTTGAAAATTTAAGACAAAAAAAGATTATATTTTCCGTAGGATCAAATGTAATATCACTTTGACAATATGCCAGATGAAAATCTATTTGAACAAAACAAAAAGTTGAACAAACCAAAAAGCTTCTAAAAAGTCATACCAACTGTATGTTGTTTCTTCCAAAGAGAAATTTTAAATTCTAGATGCAGTAGCGATTTGACAGACAATTTATTCTTTCTCGATGAAATCAATACGTTTTTGAACGCAATTTTTAAAAGCGTTTCTTGATTTCAAAAAATCTAAGTCCATTTACGACGTCTTTTCGAATTTAAGCAAAAAAAAAAGAAGATATATTATTGAGGAAACAAATAATCTATATTTATAAAGTACCAATGTGTCGGAAACGCATATTTTGAATTTTTCAATCATTTTTAGCTTGCACGTTCGTTCGTTCTCTCCTGTGTATGCGTCACAATGTTGTTGTATACAATGTTCTCTTTAAATGCGCATGCACCTCGCACTCCTAACCATAATATCGCATAATTGAATTATGCGGTTCTCAAAATATACGTTTCGGACACATTGGAAAAAGCAGTAATTGCTCTTTGAAAAACTACTCGAACATTTTTGAGCCAAAGGATTTTAATTTTAGGTTCGGTGAATATGGGTGATATTTTTAGTGGCATCACAAATTTAACTTAATCATTTTGTTCAGATTGTTGCTGATAAATTTTAATGTTTGTTTGGCGCAAAAATATCCAGAAAATACTTACCTCTGAAAATATTAGATATTTTTATTTGGCATTTTTCGGCCAGCTCAATATTATGATTCACCAGTAAACTCTGAAGTAAAGTAACTCTCTCATAGTTTTGTTACGTGATCTCTTTCTTTTGTGTTATTTCTCCCTTTATTATTTTCATACTTGAAGTTTTGATATTTTATTTATTTGTATTCGTTCTGAAATATTTCGTTTAACTTATATGTTCAGTCCATATTTATTCATCGTACATGCCTAAAAAAAATATTTAAAAAAAAAAAAACTTCAAAAAGGTATTTTTGATAGAAAAAAAAAAGAATTGCAAAAATCTAGTCAACGAAAATAATCTAAAAGTCTTCTCTTTTCCACTAAAGTTTGACTCTTGCCGAACACCCAACGAAGGGCATTATAATTTAATTAAGTCAACGTAATGACGTATACGTTTTCTTTTGCACCCTTGAAAGGGCACACATTTTTATTTAAAAATCCAAATAACTTGATAAGTTGCACTACGTTCTATTGCAATATTGGACAAACTTATGGTTTCTGTGGGAATAATGCACTGAGATAAAACTTGTAGTGATGGTATAACAGAGCTAAAATCACTTGCTGTTGACTATAATTTATGTGTGACAAAGGCTACACAATCCATGCCAAAAGTATCGTATATAAAATATAAAAATGTACAAAAATCTCTACGGAAGTAGATCAAGCCGCCAGTCACATCACGTTTGGTTCTATCTCAGATTGCAGAAATCAATTGAAATATTATACAACTAACTAAAATTAATTAAAAAAAAAAAATCCCTCAATTAAAGTATAAGCTGTACGAAAACACAATTAATCAATTTAGTATCTAACACATTGTAATCAATATCATGAATAACACACACACTCAACGCCAAAATGATGAGGAACGATGAAAACCAAATTTTTTTCTGCCCAATAAATTTAGTTTGACTAACATCTAAAAATGCAACCGTTGTTGTTTCATTGTATATTTTGTGATACTTTCTTTTGTCGACTACTTTGGATAATAAAATCAAACGAATCGAAAACAAAACACACACACACACACTTACAACAGAAATGAACAAAAGAATGGAAAGCAATGGCAAACTAACAAAATTATCTAGCCGATCGGAAATTCAACGTGGAATCAAATTCGTAAGAATTCGTTTTCCATCCGACATTATAATTTCGTTATAGTAATAATAAAAATTAATATTAATGAAGCATAACAAATGAACTCACCACCAAATAGTGGGGCTGTTCAATCTAACCACCAAAACTAAACATACTAAATTTATTAGGCGTGAAAAAAAATTTCGTTTTAGAATGAATAAAAGAGAATTGAAGTTGAACGGAATCATGAAACCAATATACCAAGATATTTTGCCAAGATGTGTCCATCACATCCATTCATGCTGAAATTAAATTATATCAAACATGTTTTGCATCAACACCAAAGTAAATTGTAAACGAAAAGAAATCATTAACACCCGAATTTCGAGTGATGATCCACACAACCACAAGAAAACACACGCATTCGTTTCATAGTTTTCCTTTGACCATTTCATATGTTTCTCTTCATTTGATTTCATGGTGCTCATTTTACTTTGATACATATTTTATGATCCATTTGCATTGCACTTTACACATCGAAAACAACATTCGCCTATGAAAATCAAACAACCACTTCAATTTGCTTCATTATTGTTATTTTTATTATTGCTATCGTTGTTTTTTTTTTTTTTTCGTCCAAAAATACCAAAATTTGTGTTTTCTGTTCTATTTTTGTTGGATTTTTTTTCTTCGCATTTGGGAGTGAAACCAATTTTGGACATTCATTTGATGCATTTTTTGTAATTTTTTTTTTTTTCATTTTGTCGATGGATGAATCGAATAAATTTTGTCACGAAAAATGTTTGAATTAAAATAATGACGAGTGAGTTATTACTTTAAATTTAACATTTTCCGTCACAATTTTTACCCATTAACTATAAAAAATGTAATCTGCCGCCAGACGTCGTAAGCCACAGAAAAAAAAATGAACGCTGGATAACATTTCACGTTGAATGGCGCCCATTCATCTCTTTTTGAAAATAACTTTAAATGGATAATCATATATATGCGTTTAATGAATGAAAACCAGGCTCAACCAATCGATCCAGACTTGACTGCCAAACTACTTGGACGCGGAGTTGCTGTTTCTCCCATTGTTACAGTCGAGCCGAGACGCCGTAAATTCCACAAAGCAATCACACTTAGCATGCCAGCACCGAAGGCTCACAGCCAAGGAATGATCAATCAGTATTCGGGCAACGCACCAACCCTACGTCTACTTTGCTCAATCACAGGTAAACACACGTTCAATTGTTTTTGACATACAATAGGATCCAATAAGATACAATCATGTATACATTATTTATTCGACTAGTAAAAAGATCGTATGGTTGCGTATTGAATAATCGTTACCACGGTTTATTAGCCATTTGAAGTATATACCAATTTTTTTTTTTATTCTTTTCGGTTTCTGTTCCTACAATTTCGTTATTCAGTTGCTATTTTTGTTCGATTGAAACTCGAAGACCATTTAGTTGAGAAGTGTACAAACAAGTCGTTCGTATCAAATATTCGAAATTAAAGTTCATTTTATTTTTCTCTTATATTACTCGTTGCGCTAATTTCTAGAGTTGATTTTGAAATTGAATTATTTATATACAAAAGCCAGCTTTTCTAACTACGCTATTTTTTATGTGAAAAGAGAAGTTTAAAAAGATTTTTTTACTTTTCATTTTTTCATTGGTTTTGATTCTTGCACTATTGATACATTCTCTTGTAAGTGACGCGTGGAGTCGATTATTATTAGTACGATCAATCGTACTATTTTAATACGTATATCAATAAGCTGAATTCCAATAGAGATTCGTGCTATATTTTGCGATACGCCCAGTTTGCTATTTTTCTATTGATTTCAAATGGGACAATTTTTCGTAAAAACAACAACTATGTCGAGCCTTAATTTCACTCCTTCTTTTTTTTCTTTGATTTTGAATTGTCTCGTTTTTTGTATCGCTCACAAAAGATTGTATCTTATTATGATTGAGTCATTTTAACTTGTAAAATAGACACTGCGAGATTCCGGGAAATTGAAAAGAAATTCGGAAAAAGGATTAAAATGAACAATGATGGTATTACCAACAGAAATATAGGTCAAACATGATAACGTCACCAAACATCGAAACCACTAACACTTTGAATATTTAAAAATAATGAAAAAAAAAAAACTATGATATCCGACATTAGGTGAAACGGCAAACGTTGAGGTCAAAGGAAAAAATCAGCTTCTTTGAAATATAGTTTGATTGATAAATTGATTAGCACTTTAAAATAATAATGAATACAATTAAAATGTGTGTAGAATATTTTTCGTACTAATTGCGAAAATTGCTTGTGTGCACGCATACCATTCTTCATCAAGGTGTGTTTCGGAAAAGATCTCTAAAAGGTAACTAACCCAACAAACTCTAGATAAAGCAAACTAATTATTTAATAAAAAAAAAAAAATACAAATCAAACAAAAAAAAAATCGTAATTTATCTTTTTTTCTGAAAACAAGAAATAAAAAAAAAAAACAGAAACAAATTACTTTAAAGAAGTACTTAATAAATAAACACCAGCTTGGGGCAACCTAATTCTTGTACATGTACATGAACTATCTGAAATTGTTGAAGCAACCAAAAATTATAAAGAAAAACAAATATATTGCATATTTTTCCGTAGATTTCTTTTAATTTCGATGATTTTCCATGATTTATTCGAATCGAATTTTCATACGTCTTCATTATTTTTCCGCATTTTTTTCTCCACATATATATTTGTCAGAATCAAATGTATTTTGCTTTGGCGTGTCCACCAATTCACAAATTTCTACATATATCTTTTGACATCCATTTCCAATCGCTTCACCGATTCTTTTTTGAGAAAAGCACTTTTATGCATTTGTTCATTCTTTTGATTTGTAAATTACGAAGACCAAAACAAGCATCAGCAAAATGGTTGTTTTGATCGCAATTTCCTTCAATTTTACCAAGGAAAAAAGCAACAGCTCGTTTTTTTTTATTTTCCATAAAAGAAAACAGAACATTTGAATGTTCACCAGTTTCACTATTGTGAGAGTGACACGTTTGGATTTTGATGAGATTCTTCAGCACTGCGCTTTCTTTGCAGTTTATAATACAATTTTTTTTCTCAAGCCGATAAATTCATCGCGCTACTAATTGTCAAATTGCACACTTTTTTGCTTTACAAAAATTTAACTAAATTCTGTTACTTTGATTCATCTCACACAAACACACACACACACACATACACAAACACAGCTTTCTTTCCGTTGTTTATATTCATTTTCGAAACAAGGAATATATTCAATTTTCTTTATAAAATGTTTTCCAAATTTTTGGCATAAAAACTTATACTTTTATGCTGAAACAAAAAAAAAAATTTATCCCAACACCGTATTGATGAGTGTCATTTGCAAATCACAAATCAGAAAGAGAAAAAAAATAATCCAAAAAAAAGCAAACAAAACATATTAAATAATTCGTTTTCAATCAAATTTAGAGAGCAAAATTGAAACTCGAAGCAAAGATTGTATAAAGTTAGTTGCCCACAAGGGAACTTTTCTGAAACCGTTGCTAAAAACCATGAATTTACTCATTTCTTTTTCAAACAAGCGACTTATTGCTTTTCCCTCCTGTCACACGCAACAATTTCCATCTAACTCAAACAAAACATTGAAATTCAAATTATGTATATATTTTCTAAATTTAAATGCAACGACAAAAAATACGAGAATTGCTAAATAATTAAAAAAAAATATAGCTCTGCGCTTTCGGCTCACGCTCTGGCTAAGCGTTCCTAATTATTTAAGGCTTAGGATAGATATATGTACATGTTGAGGGCCTCGACATTTTGAGGGCATTCGATTTATGCTGTTGATATTAAGTTCCATTTTGAATTTGAAAGAATGATAAGGATTCTTCACATAAAATTGAGAGAAAAAAATAGAAATAGATCAATAGAGGGAGGCGATTCAGTTACGTCAAACACGACATTTGTTATTAAGGATTGATGATTTAGGTCGTGGTAAAAACAGACTACGAAACTTATTATTCGATTATTAGTCGAATATATGTATAGATATATTCCTTGAAAAAACATCGGAAGAACTCGGCTCTTCTTTCTATTAAATAATTCGTGCATTCGTTTGGTAAGTATGGATGTTTTCTTTCTCAATGAAGAGTCAAAACAAAAAATTAACTAAAATAGTATTCGAATTTGTTTGTTGAAATTCAGGCGTTTTTAAGTGCACATTTTGATTTCATACAGTAGTACAAATGTTACCAAAGAAACTGATATTTATATATATATCCATAGATGTCTTTTGAATAGTTGTAAACAAAAATTTTCGCTGAACAACAGATGAAAAACGTTCTTGTCACAGCCAACAACACATTTATGTAAAACCATTGATTTACTCGTATTTTTTAAAGTCCATCTCGACTTAATTGGAAGTTAAAGGATGATAGTAAAATATGTACATAATTTAAATTCATAGGCATGAATGACGAAAGAATTTCATGTGTGTACAAAAAAAAACGGTGATTAGTAATGGTTTCGAAAAATATATTAGTTAAACCATTTTTTTGAGTTATTTTATCAATAAGATTTAGCCCATGGACATATACAAAACGGATAAAATTGATTGCGTGTCGAAACAAAAGAAAACATATTCGTTTTTTGAAGAAAATACCGACGCGCCATGAATTTTATTTGCAGTGCTCGTAGGTTTTTAGCGAAATCCAAAAGTCACACTTAAGATAATTACAGTAAAAAAAAGCCAATCACAGCAATCGATTCTACTGTAAATAGTTGAAATTCTTCATTTTGTAAATATATTTGATATTCGTTCGGAGATTTTTTTTCCTGAGTTTTTGCATAAATTTTAATATTTTGTGACTTTCTCCACGCCCGTTGCATCATTCTTTTTCTTTTAAAATGACAAACCAATGTAGTTCGTACAAATTCTGAACGCTTAATACGTTTTAGTTAAAGTTTTGCTTTTGATTTTTTTATCTTATGAAAATTACCTTTAAAAACGAAACTAGCTAATAGGATTCAGGCTTTCGATTCTCTATCTCTTCTATTTCTTTCGATCACTTCGATATGCCGTACTCTATTAAAAAGAAATGTGAATTGATTCCTGTTTATAGGTGGACCATCGCGTGCTCAATGGGAAGATGTAACTGGATCGACTCCATTGACATTTGTCAATGATTGTGTTTCATTCACAACGACTGTTTCAGCACGGTTTTGGTTGATGGACTGTAGAAATATATCGGAAGCAACAAAAATGGCCACAGATTTATACCGGTAAGTGAATCATTGGACAAACTTTCCTAAAACCAATTATACAAATGCTATTCCATGATTGTATTTTACAGTGAGGCAATACACGTTCCATTCATGGCAAAATTTGTGGTGTTTGCCAAGCGTGTCGATCCATCAGAAGCTCGATTACGTGTCTTCTGTATGACCGATGACAAGGAGGATAAAACCCTTGAGTACCAGGAGCATTTCACCGAGGTGGCAAAGAGTCGTGACGTCGAAGTGCTTGAAGGAAAGCCGCAATATACTGAATTTGCGGGCAATTTAGTGCCGGTCACCAAATCGGGTGAACAACTGCAAATCCAATTCAAAGCGTTCCGCGAGAATCGTTTGCCGTTCAATGTTCGTGTGAAAGACCAACATGCCGACACCGTTGGACGTGCCTTGTTTATGCGAGAACCGCGCGTGGCCAAAGGCGAACAACCACAACAGCCAATTTGTATTCTTAACATTGTACTGCCCGAGAAAATTCATGCCGAAAGCGCCGACGGTAGTCGTGATCTAAAGCATTTCACTGAATTATCCAGTTTCTATCGCACGGGCATTGATCGAAGCAATTTGAGTGATATACGCATTGTTGACATTTCGAACTTACTAGGCGAAGATTGGGTTCGCCTTGCGCCTGAACTCGGTATTGAAGAAGAGGAGGTTAGCGAAATTATTGCGGAAAATCCAACGAGTACACCACGGCAAGCACAATCAATGTTACAAAATTATATACTGCGCAAAGATAGTAATCGAACGGTTCTCGAGACCAGTTTGCGATCAATTAAACGTGATGATATTATCAAAAAGTGCTTGAGGCTCAGCTCCTACATCGAAAGACCAAAACAAGTGGCTGCCAGCAGCCGCAAGGGTAACATTCTAGACAATGGATACGAAGAAACAGACATTATGAAAGACTCGGAGTCAGTGGAAGAGCTGGCGGCACGCGAACGAGAAGAGCTTAAATATTCAGCGGAAGAGAAAATTGTCGAAGACTCGGACGGCGAGTCCCAAGAAGATGAAATAGTAAAACGAAGTGTTGCCGAACGGCGTGAACAAATCACGAAACGTTTGTCAATCGAGCGGCCAATTCCAGCGTCAACTCAGCAGAAAGAGATTGTACAAGAAGTGGCCGAAATAAAGCGACGTAGTTTAATTGAAGATAAAAAAGCGCTTCACGAAGAAGAGATAATTATGCACGCACCAACCGATAACATCATCAAATCGGCTACGATTCCAGAACCAGTGATCAAATTGAAATCGGGAGTTAAAGAGGAGATTGACGTGAGCAAAAGCGAATTTGATAAAGAATTACAAGATAAACTCAAGACAACCCTTAAAGACGTCGACAGCTTTGAGCATAAAGTTTCAGCAGACTTGACTGCGGCTGCACCACGTGTTGAAGAGAAAGTACAGATCGACAGTGTTGTAACGGAAAAATCATTCAAAGATGACAATGAAACGATTTTCGTTACATCGACCATCGAAACAGTGGCTCCTACAGTGAAAGAGAAAATTGATGCGACAAAACGATTTTTGGAACACGAAAATGTCGAAATTCTAGCGAATGTGGAACAGCCAAAACCAGAAAAAATAGAAACTGTCACCGAAACGACAATATCAACGAAAAACTTCTTGGATAGCGAAATAGCGGCTCAATCTGAACCGAAGACCGTGATTACCCAACAGGTAGTTGAGGAGAAAGATGGCCCAGTGAAGACAATCACCACAACAACCACAACCACGGTCAGTCGAGAATGGACCGAGCCCATTGAAATCGAAACGAGCGGAAATGCTGCTGACAATGGAATTGTCACCAGCACCGTTCGCATAACGAAGGATCTGCTCCACGGTGACAACGACTCTGACGATTTTTATAAAACAATCGAAGAAAAGATTACCAAAAAGATGAGCCAAGATTTTACGATTTACAAGGATGATAATATTGCAGATGGTGAGCACTTTCGAATGAATTTCAATACAGAAATGTCGATAAATGTGTGAATTTCCTCATTTTAGTATCAGACGAAATATTGGTCTCTCAAACGCCACCACCAACCCCAAATGAATCAAATCAACATCCGGACGAGATTCGTGAGCGCTTGCACTGTAAGTAAATTCGTGATTTGTGTTTGAATTTTGCTTTGTGCGTGTTTGAAAAAAAAAAAAAATGACAAGAAATGAACTACTATTCCATATAATTCAGCTATGTTTGACGTTCTGCGTCTTCTTCAATATTCTCGCTGACGAAAATCGATTTGAGCGAATCTAATATTCGTATTCGTATTTTTTTTTTCCTTTTGAGTTCCGTTTGTTTTCATTTGTTTCTCGAATAAGTGTACGTATTTTGTTTTATTCATGCTGTGAAAAAAAAGAACAACTCAAACATTTTATACATACTCCCCTATCAACATTTACAATTATTGTTTCATTCTATTTCTCACCATGCCGTAATGACATTTGAAAACATCCCATTCCTTTTATACTCATCATAATATATTTTAGCTAAGCAAAAACCAACTCATGTGCAATTCATTTAGTATAAAAAAAAATCATCTTCAGTTTATGATCATCCCGTAATTTTTGTTGTGCTCCCCCTTGGTTTTGTTTTCACATTATATTTATCATTGAATCGTTTTTCAGTCCATTTTCGGTTAGGTTCTTGATTGATTTGGTTTCATTTAATTTAATTTTTGTCTGAATACAATATACTCCAGCGAATTACAAATATTGGCTAAGTTTTATGTTTAACAAATAAATTTATACGTGCAAATAACGTGTATGTCAATGGTTCAAAGAGAATAACAAACCAAAAATATTTCCAGTATAATTATTTTCACCATTCTGTCCACGATTTTCGGCATTCGTGGCGAACATCACAAACACTAAATTACAACTTCCCTTTTGATTCCTATTCTATTGTTGTCCCAATTTGTGTCCACGTCTACACAGCTATCAATAATATTGTCAGCGATTATTTTCGCACCTGACAAGAAGTGATATGACAGTTTTGCTTGTAAGTCACTTGTGTTATTTTGAGTGATGATTCTGTCAAGTCTTGACCCATATTTGAATCTTATTAGTGAATGTGTCAATATCGTTACAGAAAAATAAAATAAAGTTGAAGATTATATCATGGTCGGCATTCAAATGTCGCCATTGACTCGAATGAGCTATTCACAAATGCCTTCTTGAAAGGAATTATGATTATAGCATATTTTGCTTTACCATAAATAAGTCTGCACATTTTCATGACGGTCGCCAGACACATTTTTAGCAGAAAAAAATGTCCACTAAACTGAACATGTTCGTCCAATTTTTCTATCCTCCGGAAAATTGATTGCAAAAACTTATGGCCAGTCATCGACTTGGTCATTACACCGACATTGATTTTTTTTTTCGCCTGGCCGCCTAACGATTATGAGCGTAATTGGAATCAATGTGGCCGTACACGTTTTTTTTTTGGTATTTTACCCAACTTGTACGGTTTCTTGATAAACACTATACAGCAGAGAAAATTCCAGCTAATACAATTAAAATGTGCTGGAACAGTGCTAGCTATTGCTTATATGCGCCATTCTTCTCCACGAGTAACCATGAATCATGATTGCATACAGTTCGATATTGCTACGTTTTATTTCACGAACTTTTTGTTCTCGAACTTTTGTTATATTTTCCACTTCTTTATCTCTCTTTCTCTATATATTTTGCTCTATATGATATACAATCAAATTGTAACATTTTCGATTTTCGTTGGAACAATACATATACAAATATTTAGTAATATTCAGTGGTAGAAGAATTATCGTATTGGACAATTGTCGGCCCTGTTTTATTTCTTTCACTATGTGCGCTGCTACGTCTGTTCAAATGTTCAAAGAAAGAATCGAAGCAGCCACACAGGAATTTGTAGCTACTGTTTTATTCTCGTTTGTGATTCGTTGCATACAACACACAGTGTGTCTTGAAACCAACGCTTATTTTCTATCGCCATAAAGTCTAATATATTTTGTGTGTTTTTTTATATTGAGCTTTTGTAATTCATATTTTTCTCCGAATTTGAAATACGTTTTTTTTGCTTGATTTCTTGTGAATTTCAAGAGCATTTTGTGTTTTTTTTTTTCTTTCCAAAGTCTATAGTTTTATAAATCGTGAATATTTTCCATTTCGATTATATCTATAAGTTTTGTTCACATAATAAAAGAAAACGAAAGAATTGTGTTCTGTTGTGAAATATCCGGACTCTTCCTCCTGCGTCTATAACTAGATTTTTGATTCTGTTTGAGTACACGTTGACAGTATTTAATTAAATTCATTGAACACAATATTTACCATTATTGTCGGTTGGTTGGTAAGTTAGTTTGAACTAATACTACTTGAGTTTACGTGAACCGAAAATCCTCCACAGAATAATGAACAAGCAAAACATTTTATGGGAATACGTCTTCTGAGACAAATTTAATTAGTATCACATTTCTTTGCAAATAAACTCTTCAACATGAATAAATTTGTAACAGCATAAAAAGTATAAACACGATTTTGAAGAAGCGATCATTTTTAGCCATTCTTTCTTTATTGTCGAATTGAATGAACAAAAATTAAATTAAAACAACTATAACTTTATTGAATTTAAACATAAAAGTTGGTCATAAATATTTTGCAAATCACTTTTTCGTTTTTTGGTCAGTGTGAAAACTGTAATATTTTGAAATCTTTTCTTTCAACCGATAATTTGAGTTAAAATTACATTTGGTTGTTTCTATTTATTGTTGTTATTCATTTATGTTTTGGATTCGTTGTTTTCTTTCATGTCATGTAATTTTAAATTGTGTATGTGAATTTATGGAAAAAAATAGTTTCGAGAATAAGTTTGGTATCCAATATCCTAGTGAATTGAAATGGTAGCCTGACTTATTCTCCGAATATTTTGAGAAATTTACGAAAAACCTTCAACATCTTTGACACACACGAATTACACTCATACTGAACACAAATTACACTCACAAAAAACCGCATTCATGACAAGTCATTTTGAACATTCAGCCAGTATTTAAACGCTTTGTCTGTCATTGTGCATTCAGTCGCTTTCACAATACTCTTTGCTTATTTTACGTACAATTTCTGTCTCTGTCTTTTAAACATGCTGAAAAAATTTCATTTACTTCAAAATGTCGCCAAAAAGGAACGAAATTTGATTTTATTCGATTTTACGTTTATTTTGTTGAAGTTTTCAGTTTTTTATTTTCCTTTTATTTTCTGTCCTTTTTTATTTTATTTATCATAATTTATTTTATTATTTATTTATTTTTTTTTTTATTTTCATTTCATTTATAGGAAAACATTGCATATCCATAGATTTGCATAACACACCTAAGAGTTCCTCAATGTTTCAACAATGTTCTCCCCTCCCACATATAATATTTGCGGTACTGGCATTAGGTTTTTGTGTATAATGAAATAATAAATGATATCAAACCTACACTCAAGTGGATTTAAATAATACACCTGATTAATCAAATTGAATGTGAACCCATTGGTTTGGATCACTAACACCCTCAAATGATTGGCGGCTAAAAAGTATTTCTTCATTAAAGTACATAATTTTTTTTTTTCAAATACAATATTTGTTTCGCCTTTATATTCCCAACTAATTTAATTAATAACTATTATTTATGTATCGGTGTGAAAAAAAAAACAAAAGTTGGAAAACATATTGTCTAAATCCATTGATTGGCATTGAATATCGAAAAAAAAAAAATTCTCGCACTAGGACAAAAGATTCTTTTCCGTTTCCTAATATCATAAAGTCGTATTTAAATGTCCACAAATTCATATATTCAGAGCTACAGACCAGAAACTGTACGGATATACACGAAATAACATCGGTTTTGTTTTGTTTAGCTGAAAACTATGCGATGCCAATCGGTGTGCAGATTTCACGTGAACCCAAAAATTTGTTTTAACCAATTCGATAAATTCAAAAGAAAAAAAACAATTAATTAGATTTTTTGTATTTTTATTTATCATAACATGTTGGTTTTAAATTAATTAGATATTTCTGTGTTCTTTTGTTATAATTTTTATTTTCATTAAGCTTATATTTTCTCCCACTCGCTTTTCGCTCCCCCACAATATACCCTTTTATGATCAACTGAATAAAATCTTATTCCAAAACTGAAGAAAATGAAATCGATTCGCTTGTATGATTTGTTTTTTTTTTCGGTAAAAAAACTGTTGCACGACCAATTTTCATTCGATGCCACTGCCGAAATGAAAAAGGCAGAATATTAAAACCTTTTTGACTGATGTAATAAGTTTTATTCAAATTCGTTATAGTATGATATTGAATTGGTAATGATAACCGACTATTCGAGTATTTATCTCTCCGCTTTTTTCGCTTTTCTAATCCAATCACACGATACTTCACTGTACCTTGTTTTTCCGTATGAAACAGGTAGTGCTTCCATGTGTGATTCATTATTTCATTGACGATGTGACTGAAATATATTCGATATTTGTTTGAGTGTATGTGTATGTACATGAAAATCACCCTATCAAGTGTCCATTTTTACAGCCGAATTTTTCTTTATATATTTGATGGTACTGGGAAAAATACACAACATGCATATGCACACACACACACACACACACAAACATACACTTGATCAACGATCACATAAGCATTCTACTTGATGTATAGGTACAACGCAACATGTCACAGTATAGTTCACATACACTAATGATTTAATCTCCATTCATGGTTATTTTATGTGAAAAACAGCAACCATACTGCATTGTTATTTAATCGTGACTCGTAATAGTCACGTTTTTTATGTTACCTTGATGAGAAAAAGATAAGGTTGCTGTTTTCTACAGTCTGTGAAAAAAAACTATGTTCATATGACTGCCACTTGTGAAAATCATATGGACCAGTTTTTTCATTCAAAATTTAAAAACAATACTAAATTTTTTTGAAATCCTTTTGAGAAAAACAAAACGCTAACGTTATTAAATATACAAATTTGCACGCTGCGTTACAATATCGACCAAACGTTGTCTTCCAAAAAAAACTTAATGGAATGAATTTCGCTCTGTTTTGAAACTTGAACCAAAACGGAAAACAAATTTAACAGTCGAAATCGCCGATATCAAATCTAGTGAAACGAAGCATGAATACATACCGTCTAACCCTGAAAACTCATTAGATGTTCATGTTTCCGAAAGCCCTTCTGAAAAATCAACGTCACCGTCCATTTCTGAATGCCATTCCAGCAAATTAAATCGTAATGTGATCAATCTTCAACTGAAAACTGACCAGACCGACTTTGTTAAAACGCATACCATACGAACACAAGACATAACTGACACCAAGCCAAATGTTGGCTCACAAACATTCAACCCAGATGAATTCGGTCAACGTTCTGATTCACCATCCCTTCAATTGGTGATTGGTCGAAAAGAAATTCAAACTGATGATATTTCAGCCATTTCCGAAAATCGATTGACGCTTTACAGCAAAAAAGATGTGGAAATTTCGATTAGTTCACAATCCAAAATCACTCTCACTGCTCATACAGCTAGCAAAACCGATGAACTTTCCCCAATTTACGACGAGAAACAAGATAATATTGCTCAAAAAGGTAAGTCTCAAACGGGATCGACAAGCGATATTGGCTCGATGGTGCGTGGTGAAAAGAAACGGCATGACGATCCAGTTGTTTTCTCAAAAATGAATCGAATTCATGTTTATCATGACGATTCAGGCAATATGTCTCCTATGACCAGTGAACCAAGCGTTTCACAGCACATTAGTGACACTGGCATTTCACTCACACGGACAACGTCCGATCATGATGACGAGCCAATTAAATCATATGGCAGCATCACTGAAGGCCCATTAAATGTCGAAATTGAAGAGATGGAATTGACTGATGCTGGACTCAGCCCCATCCAGGCCGATGAATATGAAGTGTTCACGGCCGTGTGCAGTGCTGATGATTCACGATTCACAAATACCGCCACTAGCCCAGCTTTTGACAACAATTCGTTCACTGAAGCGAGCACATCAACAGATCGTCTTGAATATAAGGACGCATGGAATAGTCCAGTTGATATTGAAAAGAATTATGTAAAATCCATTGCTGACGAAGACGTTCTCAGTTCACGCAGAGGCTCTGGCGATGTTAAAGCAAAGGTTAAGATTATTGAAGAAAATAGTCTGAAAGTTTCGAAAGAAATTGAACATGAAAGTACTGCAAAACGGGAACAAAAAGAAATCGAGAAAAAACCAAAAGCTCAACCACTCAAATACGCCTATGATGCTGGCGAGTCATCAGTCTCTGAAGAACCCATTCCTCCAATTCAAGATGTTATTTTGTCAATTGAAAAACGAATCGCTAGTGAGGCGCTACCCAGTTCATATAAAGAAAAAGTGCCACATCCTAAAGACAAAGCGATGAGAGAAGTTGATGAATCAGAATTATTGGCAAGTCTTGAATCACAGATCATCACAGCAGATGATAGTGATAAGAAAAATGAACATAATCAAAAACAAAAGGATGATGTTCAAATAGACAATGATGATGAGCAAAAGGAACCTGTGTGCGAAATTGTTTGCGCCAAAAGACAAGTAGTTCCGTTAGCTCATGAAGAGGAAATTTCTGGTGATGAGTTGGAATACGATGAAGAATTTGGACCAACAACTAGTCAAACATCGCAAAAACAAATGGATAATCAGCCATTAATCAGAACATTACATTCATTCAAAGAAGAAGAGGTTTTTATTAGCCGCCTCACATCAACAGAATCAAAAAAAGAGAAGAATAATATTAAATCCATCATACAAACTACTGATGACTCAGTTTCGGACTCCGAAGTTCGAGATGTTAAAATGATAGTGTCGCAATCAGAGAAACTTCAAGAAGATACTATCAAATTAAGTAAAATCGTTCTGAAACAAATTCAAACCAGAAATGAAAATAAAATGGAAACATATACAGAATATAAAAAAGATAAACAAAAAATCGTTATCAAATCAGACGGATCAAAATCTCAAGCAACAAAAGACGAAAGTGAGCTTGGCGATATGGAAATACAAATCGAGGATTCAAAAGAAAAGATTTCCACAAAAACTGTAGAAAAATACACACCGCAGGGAACCTCCACTGAAAAAGCCCCCGTCACAAAAACCGAAGACAAGTTGCCCAAGAACGATGTCTCTCGCCCAGAGTCAGCTTTGAGCGATGATAAACCTCAGCCAAAGTCACGCTCTGAATCAATCTCTGATGATCATTTGACTAAATCGCCAACACCTTCAGTTGTGAGTGTTACAAAAGAACCGATCGCAAAGACCGAAGAGAATGAATTGCCTAAAGACGATGTCTCTCGCCCAGAGTCAGCTTTGAGTGACGATAAACCTCAGCCAAAGTCACGCACTGAATCAATCTCTGATGATCATTTGACTAAATCGCCAACACCTTCAGTTGTGAGTGTTACAAAAGAACCGGTCGCAAAGACCGAAGAGAAAGCATTGCCTAAAGACGATGTCTCTCGCCCAGAGTCAGCTTTGAGCGATGATAAACCTCAGCCAAAGTCACGCGCTGAATCAATCTCTGATGATCATTTGACTAAATCGCCAACATCTCCAGGTGGTACGATGAGTAAATTATCACGACCTTCGGATATTGATGAAAAGATCGGTTTCAAAACATTTCCCACTGAAGAGCGTTCATTCAAATCGCCCACTCGTCCAACGGATGTCAAAGCCAAATCAGAGTTTACTGCAGAAAAAGTTGAATATGTCCTTGAGGAATTGGGTGATCAGTTCGAGAATACATTGAGAGATGTAGCCGAAAAAACTCCTTCGCCAAAGGAGTCTTTAGGAAAATTGGAGAAACCGATCGAGATTATTTCAAGTGTAAGTCTTACAACTAATCAGAATTCATATGAAACAATCAATGAGAAAAAGCTTTTTGATAAGAACGTAGAGTCCGAAGTAAAATCCATTGAAATGGACGAAGTATCGGTATCTACGACGCAAGATGACTCGAAAATCGAATTAACTGAATGTGACCTTCTATATGATAAACTACAGTTCAAGCAACAAATTGAGATCGATTTTGATGATAAATCCAAAGAAAATTCGCGTAGAACATCTACAAGTTTGTTAAGTCGTCCAGAGAGTGTTCTCAGTCACTTCACTGATAAAACGGAACCAGAGATTAGGGAAGTCTGCAGTGACTATTCAGAGCAACAAGTTCATGACAAGTTGGACGAAGTATCGGATATCCACTCTGGAATGTACTCTGGCTCCCATTCAGTTAATAGTTTCGAAAGTCATAAATCTATTGAAACAGAAAGCACAAAAGAGAGCATCGTTCAAGAATCTATAGTTCAAGAAAATTTGATTTCATCACATGAGATAGAAGTATGTAAAGATGAGATTGACAGTTTTGGAGATAAGCCGATTCAGAAATCTGATGAAACTAATCAAAAACATTCATCGCCAAAAGAAGAAAAGCAAACGGTTGGTGGTTTGTTAGATTCAAATCTAATAATGTCGCCTTCTTCGAATGTATGTATTGTCAAGGCAACATTGGAGAAAGACGATTCAGATGCAGTCAACACTATTACTCCGTCGGAATCAGTTTTAATAATAGAAACTCCATCAGAAACGCTTGAAGATAGTCTGAAGCGCGATTCCCATTCCGATATTCCATCTGATCAAAGGATTGACATTCAAACTCCTGAAAGAAAAGATTCATTAGAAACTGATTTAGTAGTACTTGCAACGCAAGAACTTGACGGCCAAGAGTTACATCGCGATATTAGCGCCGATTCTCTGAATATTGGTGATTTTCAAAAGACGAGGGACATACGTTCCGATTCAATCGATTGTATTGAAGTTGAACTTCATGAAGCAAACGTGAGTGAGTTTGAGACTCAGTCAAGGGACGGTGAATTATTGCACAGTTTTGCGCATGAAATCGTGGCAGTTCGTCAGTCAGTTAGTGATTGTCCGGATAAAATAAATGAATTGAACTCTATCCAAGTTGATAAAGTTGTTTTTTCAACCTCATGTACAAATGAACTCTCCGTTACATCTGGTCTCACAGATATATCGGATGACAATGTTTCATACGATGAACATATAACCATGGACTCTTCCCAAATTGATTCCGATAGTCGACTAACAAATGTACCCAAAGAAACCATTTCACACAGTCCCCATTCCATAGCGTTCAATGTTGTTTTTGAGGCCGAGGCAGCCAAAAATCGAACCATGAAGCCACTGGGGCAGAAAACTGACGATAAAAAAATGACGCGAAAAACTGCTGAGATCAGTCCAAAACGACAGCTGCTTAAGAAACGACCGGTCGCGGAAACAAAGAGCTCCTCTTCTGAAGAAAATGCGGCCGTTTCAGAGAAAAAATACATTCGCAAGAAGGTCAAGCAAATTGAGCATCGAGAAATCAAGCAGAGTGCAAGTGTTTCAATTACTTCCACTGCCACTGCTGCGACAAAAATAAAAACAAATACAAAATCCGATAAAAAGGATGAGCCCAAAAAGAAATCTCCCAAGAAATCGATCCTTATCGCTAAATCAGTTGAAATCGATCCAAAAACCATTGCTGTTACGAAAGTTTCAAGCAGAGTTTATGGTTACATGCAATCAACCGTATCTCGAGATCAGAAAATTGGTAAAACAATGACTTTGGAACGAAAAGATTTGAAAAAATTAGACCATCCGGGCGAAGTTAGTAGCTCTCGTGTTTCCACTCCAGATAGAATGCACCGAACTAGAACTACTTCAACGAGTTCAGTTAAGTCTACTGTTAGCATTAACACGGAAAGCAAACAAACTAAAACTGGTTTAATCACAACCAAATCGGATTCGATTCGAGCCCATAATTTGAAAGTGTCGAAGTCCATGAACGTTGACAAATTGAAATTGGCTTCAACACAAAAAGTGTCCACAACGAGCATGAAAATTGATGCAAAGAAAGAATCTCAAACCGATGCTAAGAGTCGACGTAAAATCGAAACTAAAGCATCGGTGCAAATCGCTTCGTCATATAAGTCCCTAAAGTATAGCACTTCTAGTGAAAAAGAGCATTCAATATCCAAGAAAGTTGACATCGAGCAGAAGAAACGAGTGAAGGATTTGCATACGAAAAAGATTGAATTAGTCGAAAAGGCGTCGACCGGTTCCATAATTAAAACAACAACAAAACCTCTGACCAAGAGCTTGAAAGATTCCAAAAACAAACTTATTGAAGCAAATATAATCAAAGAAACCTCAAAACCGATAAAAACCTCATCAAAAAGGGTGACTGTTGAATTGAACAGAGTTGATCGAATTTCAAAAACAAATACCGACAAACGTGACACAAAACATACTAAAGACATGGCAGGCATCAAACAAAGAGATGCCAAAGATAAAGAAAAAACCAAACCAAAGACCAAATCATCAAAAGTACCGATTCCGATCCGTGAAAAACGAACCACTGACGTCCACTTTGCAAATGTCGAAGTCGACGAATTATTTCGATGCAAATCGGCAATGCAATACTCCACCCTAGATTATCCATTAATCGTTGATTTAACACGTGATCAATCGAATTCGGTGCCGTCCAGTCCAAGCCGTTTGGTAAAATCGAAAAAATTAAATCGCAACAAACAATTTACAAGCGAAGTTTTCATGCGTACTGTTGATTCTTCCTCCATGGAAGTGATTTACAATCGCCGACCAAGCAGTAATGGTGACAACATTCGACGCTATCGTGAGCTTGAGGTCGGTTTCATTGACACAACCGATTCGAGTTTATCGGATTCGGTCGCATTGCCATCATCCTCTTCTGAAAATCAAAATACCGAAAGTGCATCGTTGCAAAAGCAATTTGCACCATTGATGCAAAGTGAAAAAACTGCACGTAAAATTCGTTGTACGGACATTGAAAAGGCCTCTCAATCAACATCACATCAGCATGCACAAAGTAAACAGAGCGAATGTGTTTATCAGTTTGGTAGTAGCAGAATCTCGGATTCATCGTCAGCATCGGCATCACCGTCTGTGTCAGCCAATAGCAGTGTGATCATAGTCGAAAGTCGTTTGTCACCAATTCTTGACTTTAAGGCTATATCACCACCTCGTCAAAAACATAAGTTTGACTACAAGGTTGTTTCAATTACAGGTAAATTCTGTACAAATAACCAAAAAATGCCGATTTTTTCTTTATACAAACACATAACGCCATAACGATTTGTCTTTGGTACGAAAACTTGTACGGAAAAATGAATTGCTCTCCGAATTTTTTTGTCTACATTTTTTTCGACCAAATTCGTGAAAGAATATTCGTTCTCTTAAATGTAGACAAAATGATGTAACTACGAATACATTTGTGGTTAAATGTATGGATTCATTTTTCATCATTTTCATACAATGGCAAATCGTTTTGGATAACGCATCGGAAAATATCAAACAAACACATAATTATTTCATTTCAAATGATTCATTTTCATTCAAATTGCGCGGAATTTTAAACACAGTTTACTCCTATTGCTTGAACGTCGTTTCATAGAGTAACGTAAAACATTTTCACTTGATGAAAAGCCTTAAATAGCTGTGTGTTTGTTGATTTGTTAACGAAAATAAAACACATTTCAATTACAATTCGTATTTATCATACACGCATTTAGCTTTTAGGTGCATAATTTTTGTTTGTCGGCTTTTTACGTCCAAATCGACACCCCTGAACGGTTTTGAACTTTGTGTAAAATATTTCCCAACATCAACGTGCAAAATCAAACATTCCCTTATGCTCAACAAAAATAAACTGCTTTTGTGTGTGATTTTTCCCCTTTCTGCAAAAGCACCAAATAATATGCTTTTCGTATGTACATCAAAACCGTTCATGGGTTAGCGGCTGTTACATGTGCAAATTGTATTTAATATTTGTCGTCTGTTGACCGAGTAAAAATTAAGCGTATGGGTAGGTAAACTTGAATATTGCTTATTAATTTAATCAACATCGAATCGAAATCTACTGCGTCGATTAGTTTCCCGAAATGTTTTGCTTACTTCAACAATCAACGGAGGATTTTCACTTCTATTACATTTTTCGTTTCATTTTATTTCAATTTTTCTTTCATTTGGATTCGTGGGTAAACGAATTATTTTTGTTTCTCCAGTTAAAAACTAATTGCAACTGATTAAACTCGAAACTCATTTTACCAAACAATCCATCAATATGAATGAAATACCGAAGATATCAATCACCCAAGACTTTGTAACGGATGATAACGATGAAGAAATGGACAATGAATGCACCGGCAATATTGAGGAAGCACACACCGATATGGAAGATTTGGACAGCGATGATAAAAGTGGCCAATTTCCATCAGGTCAATTGCTAAAAACACGCAAGAAAGTAAAATCAAAGAAGATCGACGAATGTGCCACTGATATCGAAGATTGTCAAGATTCGGGCACCGATTTTGAAGATGAATTAGTCAAGAGTGTTGACGAACAGTTGAGCCTGAATGAGTTTTTGGACCAAGGTGTTATTGAAGAAACATCATCATTTGGTGGTGGCAACAAAATCAAACAAAGCCGAAAGGGTAAACGTGCCAGTTTGATCGTTCCAGTTGATGAAGATGATGGCGCAGTCACAGATTGCGAAGATTTAGATTCATCAGATAACGAATTGATCATCGAAGAGTGTCCTCCGGATCCGAGATATGATAATTTTTTGCTCGAAAATGATGACTTTAGTTCAGTTAATGTTGACAATTCAGCTTATGTGCAAGGAAAAAAGAAGCGTATGGTTCAATCAAAATGTGTTGACAATTCAGACTCCGATTCCGATATGCCGGCTGGCAATTGGAATGAATTATCGGATGTTGAAAATATTGCATTATCCGATCAAGAGGATCAACCGAAATTTTTCAATCATATCAAACACAGTGCCAGCGCATTTGATGCCGAAGAAATGATTTTGGTGGCGAGTGATAACGAGGGTGCTTGTTCAACAAGCCACGCCGAACCAATACCAGAAATATCGGTACAATTCAAATGCAAACCGAAAAAGATTCATCATCGCACTCGCCATTCACAACACAATCAAAATAAAAATACATTGGCTGTGCAAGCAAATCCGGATGAAGCTGTAACCGATGTGGAAAATTTGGATTCATCCGATGACGAAGGAACGAATCTTCGGAAAAATCTAACAATTCCCTTGGCATACGTGGCCGGCGATCGATCGCTTACTGATGTTGAAGATTTTGATGTTGACGAGGATTGCATTCCATCCACTTCGAATGATATCAAACTGCCGTCGCCAGTACGTGAAATAACCGTTATGAGGGCCGATAAACATGGTGATCCAGTTGCCAAAGTAATGCCATTGGTTGCTAATGCAAATGGTGCGTTCTTGGGTATACAAGAGGATTACGTAGACAAAGGTTAGCACACAACACTTCTTAAATACAAAATATGATCATTTACAAATCCATTTTCATATTCAAGAAAAACCAGTATTGATTTTCTCTTCCAATTAAAAAATAAAGGTCTGACCGATACGGAAGATCTCAGTGGAAATGAAGACGAATATGACAATGGCATCAACTACGAAATAATTGAAGTGCCCAACTTTGACGATGGCGGAGTTGTTAGTACAGCCGAGGGTTTGACTTCTTTTACACGTGACCGAAAAGCCATAGACTATGAGCAATTGACCGATATCGAAGAGATTCGTTTAGGTGGTGAGAAACATTTGCGTCACAAGCGGTCTAAGCCGAAAACTACGAAAACAAAAGGCGGACTCTTGGCTGTAAATGGTGACGATGGCGAAGATCAAGTGCTCACAGAAAATGAAGAGATTTATGTGAACGACGATCAAGCCTCAAATTTCACCAATACTGGACATTTGAATGGTGTTAGTGTACGCTTTAGAGGAAATCCAGATGGCAGTGTTACAGATACGGAGGAATTTTCTGGCGATGAAGATCTTACGAAAAAGTACAATTCGGAAATCGATCCAAATGTATTTCAACAAGAGGCATTTTTCTCAACAATAACATCAACTGATGGAACTCAGGGCAAACAACCTGTTCTACAGGGTTATTCAAAAATTTCAACAACTATTAAAACACGTGAGGCACATGAATCGTCTGCCGATCAATCAGTCACAGATGTTGAAGACTTGGAACAAACTGACGGCGAAGATTTGCTTGGTGTCGATGCACAATCACGTGGTCCAACGCCAAATTTGCTACGTTCCACATTCAACGAATGTGCTTCATATTGCGTACGTGATCAATCCAAAAACCAATTTGATATCTCCAACGAAGCTGATCATATCAAAGGCTACGAAGACATTCGTGATAATCACACCGACATCGAATGTCTGGAGTAATGTACAACTTCAGACGCGGACAAAAAGTACCGTTTTATAATTATGATTTTTTTTTAAGCTTAATTTTGTTAAATTCAACATTTATGTTTCTCCTTTTTTTGCCATTTCTAGTCTAAATCAAATGCGGGAAAACATCACAAATTATTTTGCCAACAAAAAAAAAAACAAAAAACAAAAATTAACAAAAAAAAACATCTTATCTCTCATTCTACTTAACTCCATGTCCTTCCAGTATCCATAGTTAAATAATATAATCTCAACGGCTGCATGCCGTTATATATGTTAATGTATGAGTTTAATGGTTTTATTTTATCTTATCTTATCTTATATATTGAATGTAGTAGTTAGAATATGTCCGTAGATTGATTGATATGTTTGACAGTACCTGTGTTTTGACAGATTTTTCAATATTTCAATCTTTTACAGATGAGGAAGCAACTCAAAAATCCAAGCAACATGATGACGATTTGGATGATTCGGCCAGCACAAAGGGTGAGTAAAATCATTTAAATGTTTTACTAAATAATTTGTCTCACACTCTTTAGACTCTTTCTCAGTAAACAAACAATACGATCACCAATCACACTTTTAACTTTGTGTAGGGCTAACAGTACTAATTTTAACTCTCAACTAAAACATTAAATTGTTGGATATAAATCGGTTTTAAATGTTTCCAAATGAAATTTGCTGTGCAAATTTGTTCGTGTCACATTAAACTGAGCATGAATTATATACAAAATTATATGAATATTGTTTTGAAATATAGCGTTCAATTGGAAACATTTACTCACATCAAAATGATGGGAATGCTGAAAATTCAGTTGAAAATTTTCAAATTTTAACAAAGTAGCACCTATTTCCCTTAATTTTCTTCTAATTTAAAAATCCGTACCTCATAAACTCATTCATCTCATCACGATTAGCAAGGAAAGCCATGATAAATGCTGTGTGTGATTTAAAAAAAATTCAGTTCAACCAAGAAGTCTATCGAAACAGTTTTTTCTGTTCATTTCATTTTTATCTCGGATATTTCAAGTGCCATTATTTTCTGTAATTTTTAGTTGCTACACAATAATAAAAAAAAAAAACAACTATAAAATAACCACACGATTCTTGTTGAATACCGGGAAAACTGTAGGGACAATAACAAGTTTATTTTTATTAAAGAATATACATATTGCAATGAGAAAGGACAAAAAAACACAATCAAAATCTCACTTGAAAATCATTTATCGATCGAATTAGTCAATTAGCCAACTAAATGCAAATATTTTTTTTACTTCACCACAGTAAAAAAAAAAAGTGTTTCATATTTCATATTTATCATTTCGCAATCATCAAATTTTAAAACAAATCTTTAACATTTCATCACAAAGCACCCAAAACACTTTCATTCCATCACAAATTGTTTTCGGTTCTAGTACATTTTATATGATGTTGAGGAAATCACAAAACAACAATATTCAAACAAATTTTCGTTAGAATTTTATTCACTCAATTTCGTAACAAATAAAGAAGATTGAACCAATTCACATGCCATTTTCGGTAATGCAAGAAAAAAGTACTGACCAACAGTAAATTTGAATGCTCCAAAACAATTTGGCAACTCTAATGCAACTAACGCTACTAAAGATAATGCTAACAAAGAGTGTACTTTCATTTTCGTTTCATTCTACGGTTCTTTCCATTCAGTTTATTTGCCACCAATCTAGATAAAGAATATTATACTAATGAAACAAAACAAAATCAACCAAAATATTGAAATGAAATGAAACAATATCAATATAAATAATTTTATTACGATTTTATTATGTAAAACAGGATCTAGCGACTATTTGAATTTAGTTCGATCGGAAGCCATACAATTGGTCGATAATATACTCGAACGGAGCATTTTCTTTATTAATTCGCAACAACATTCGTCGAATACACTGTATTCAGAAAGTGAACATTTTGCCATCACATGCGATCCACACGGTGCAGATTTAGTTAAGTCACCGACCATCGAATCCATGTCGGGGAAATCATTTGATGACAATCTTAGCGGGCCAGACGATAATAATCCGCTGAACGACGGTCTGAGTTTCAATCAAACACTATACGATCAGTCAAATGACCTCAATATTCAGTCTAGAAATTAAATCTACAACATTCAAACCCGAACAAAATTTGTCGAAAAACGAAAACGAAAAAGAACCAGAGTGACACATGAATCACAGTAAAGAAAAACGAAATGTTAGTAAGCAAAATTTATAAAACGAAAAACAAATGGTCCACAATTTTTAGCGTTTATATAGTTCGAGAAGACATATATAGTAAATATTTATGGCATTTAAATTGAAATTGCAAAATTGTTTGATGATCCGGGCACTTTGAATGTAGTTGGCTTTTATTGGCTGTTTTCGTTTCAAATGCTACTTCTGTAAGTAAATCTCAATCATAAGAAATTAATGCATTTTGTACAAAAAATAACATGCGTTCACGCTAGTTAACAAAATTCATTTCTTCTCTAGATAAGTTACTAACAATATTTGCGCGCGTGCACTGTCATCGCCAATACTAAAAAATAAATGGGTGCTGTAGTGATCCGTTCTTTATTTGATCGACAAAAATTAAAAAAAAAAAAAAAACATGATGAAAATGCTTCTTTCCCCTAAATGTGTGGTTTTTTAATGTGCAACATGCTTTTAAAGGTGAATTAACTAATGAAAGACAACGTTGAAGAATTTTAATGGATTCAGTCCAATAACATTTCATTTTATTGGAATTGTTTGTTGAAAATCACTCAAAAATTGGAATTACACCAAAGAAAAGTGGCTCTCAATCAGGAGAAATATCCACCTGTTTAATACACGAAACATGCAACCTCTTTGGACTGAATCCATAAAATTCTTGTTTGATGACACAAAAAAAATCGCCCTAATTTTTATTGTTCATTCAAATTTTATTTTTAATGTGCGAAATTAGAATTTTTGATTGTAATTTTTAACATACAAAACGCATTCATTCGGCAAACAGAAAATAAATTGCGTAGAATTTCAATTAGCGTGTAGATAACAACAAAAACACAACATTTTCGGTCTCGGAACGGTTTTGGAAAAATTAAATTTGAAAGTATGTGTTTTTTGTACACGTTTGCTATTATAATCCCCTCCATAAATCTGAGCTACCATTCTCATTTTATAGATATATTTCACACTCACACACAGCATGCTTCAATGGTTTCCTCCTCTTGCAATCGACAGTTGTTTCGTTGAAGCAGCTTTTTTATTCAAAGAAAAAAGAAACGAAACATTGAGATCATTTTAATTTAGCTTATTGGAATTTTATTTGCCCATCAGAACAACAATTGAAGTCCCTTTCCATCTCAGGTGAAGACAAAACGTTTCAAATATTAACGACACACGATTACAGTGATTTTCAATAGAACAAAAGACAAACCATTCATTAATACAAATACAGTCATATGAGGAAAAAGAAAATCAAAATGAATTCCCGTACAAATTGTTCAATGTTCAGTACATGAAAGTGGAAGTGGAAATGGTAAATTTCCATGCATCAATTGTAAACGCCCTTTGTGGACGGTGTTGTCGAAATGTGTTGGAATCCAAATTCAGTATGATTTGCATGTAACTTGCGAATTAAATCTGTCTCTCTCCACCTGAATGAAAACAATGACACAGAAAGAAAAAAAATCACAAAGTCTAGACCATATATAGTCAGCACAAAAAAGTACAAAAACACCGATCATGCACAAGCAATAAATGAATTTCAACAAGAACGACTTCATTTTTCGGTGCATTTTAAGCTGTTTCTTTGATGAAAGCTTTGAAAAAACTACTTCTAACATCACTTGTAGGTTTTGTCTATGTGGGATCTGTTCCATCACCTCCTTTTATCAATTTGTTTACCTTTGTCCTACATTTATTACAATATTTGACTTGTGTAAATCAGAATTTTTGAAGGTATTTCAGCGAATTGCGAGTAATTTTGTTTAATGGATGAAATAAATGAACATTTGCCATTAACTCAATCGATTTGTATGCGTGGAAAATGCGATATTCTCATTTTACTTGAAATGAATTGCAGAGAAGTGATAACCATAATTTTATTCGGCTGTGATGAAAGATCGAAACGATTTGAATTCATTTTAATATACAATTTTTCTGTTGATGTTCTTCATTTCTAACGTCACAAAAATCCTATTGTCCTGAAATACTCTTTAAAGATCGATTTTCATGAGATGGTCATTCATTAAGAATTTCTTTGATTAAGTTTTCGAAAATCATTCATAAGAATTGTGGATTTTGACATATTTGCAATTTCAACTTTTTCATTGTGTAACAGCGTCATCCATGATTTCCTATGGACATCTGGATGATGTTGTGTAAATGGTTTGGTTCGAAAATTGCAATGTGTCAAATGCCATGCAAAATAACAAGATGGTCTTATTTAGTATTTTCCATTCGCTTTGAATTTATAGAGTCAAAAAGTCATATTGCTCCTAAACCAACGCCACGCGCCTCCAAGCCAATTGGTAGCACAGATTCAGCTACAACTTCAAAATCGGTTGGCGATGAGTTCGCCAATAATACCGACACCGATAATGAGCCCAGTGCAATTGTCGACCGAAGTTCCGGTGATTTTTCTGAAACGAAAAAATTCTGGCAATCATTAGAGTCTAGTCATTCGGTTTGTTCAGTCGATGAGCCACAAATGCCACCCGTACCAAAACCACGTTCACAATCACAGGCACAAGTTCAAAGTATTCAGCCGGTCAGTGATGATTTTGATTCAATTGAAAGGACCAGCATTTCACTCGTTGAGGAAAGCGCAAGTCAATTATCATCATCGTTGAAAATATCGTCAGAGGGTCAAGTTGAACGATCGGAATCGAGCAGCTTGAAATCGAAACCAGAAATTAATCGCGATGATGATGATTCAATTACTGATCGTTTGGAGAACGAAAGTTTCCCGATCGATAAACATAGCGAGAAAATTGATTCGGATCCATATGAAGCGAAATTGGATTCTCTGGAATACGATTCAACCGAACGAAGTTCTTCGTCAATCTACAAGGTCAAGGAGCGTGAAAATATTTTGGATGACGTTGATGATGAAGATAAAATTGATCACGAAAACAAAAGTGCAGCCTTTTACATTGGTGAATCGAGCGGAAACATTATCACCAAAACAGCGACTGAAAAACGTTCAGAATTTGCATACGATAATGAAGGCTATGAATCAAAGGACTCTGCAAAAGTTGAACAAAAACCAATAGAAATTGAAGACGACGTTCCACAAAGTAGCGAACGAGATTCACAACAAGAAGTTCGATTCAATTTACAGCCCGAAGAAATTGGTGTTGCCGCCTATGGCAAAGACGTCGATTTTGTGGTGAAACTCGAACGAATTCCCACCGGAATGGATAAATCGTTGGAAGAGAAATGCGAAACCGAATTATCCGAAAAGTTAATTCATGAATCACCAATCCCAACGGACCTCGAACAACACGAATATTATGGTTCGGAAAAATCGTTCGGCTCTGAAAAGTCATTTGAATCTGAGAGTGTGGAAGAATCGCATGTTGAAATTCAAGAGTTATCCAGTACAAGTGAATGGAATGTAGATGCAAACAAATCAAAACGAGAAGAAGAGCCAGTTATTTGTTTTCCCGACGAAAATGTGATTGAAGAAGAGAGCCGTGTTCGGATCGAGCAGCTTGATTCATTTGATTCGGCTTCACCGACTGAGCCACAGAAGGCAGCTGTCGTTCATTCACCCGTTGAAGAAAGAAAAATTGCTGATGAATTTGAGTATGCAGCACCAATCGACACCAATGTTTATGCTCAGGAAAGTGGCAAATACATCGAAAAGGAAATGTCGCAAAATTACGAATCTCCCAAAGTTACAGAAACCACGTTAATTCAACTAATCAGAATGCATGAAGATGACGAATTTATTAAACCAAAATCAGTAGCTGTTGTGCATTCACCGATTGAAACCGATGAAATAAAAGCTCCGAAAACGCTAATTCGTGATGAAACTCTGGAAATAAAACCAGCTGTTCATTCTCCGGTTCAAATCAGTTCATTTGATACATACACTAGTCAGGGGGCTTTGAAAGGAGAAAATATTGAAGAAACGTTGATTGATGACCTGTCATTTGGCTTTGATAAACCAACAACAGCAAAAGTTGTTCATTCTCCAATTGACAGTTCGATCAAATTGGAACAACAATTCAAAGAAGAATTTGCGGAGAAAGTTGAAGAACAACAAGAAATAGAAATAGAGACTAGCAAACAAGAAACGAAGCCAATCAGCAGCAGAACTGAGAAAATTGACGATTATTCTTTTGATTTTAGCGCACCCAAGCCAGCACCGGTCGTTCATTCTCCAGTCGACAGTTGGAAACAGGAATCACGATTTAAAGAAGAAATTGTTGAAAAAATTGAAACTTATTCCGACGAATCAACTCAAAAAGTCGAGCACGGAGAAATGAAACAGCCGATTGGTGGCCAAACTGATTTACTCGATGATTGTTCACTTGATTTTGGAACTAAAAAAACAACACCCATTGTTCATGCATTTGTAGACACTGCAGTCAAGTCAAGTCAAGAATGCAAAGACCAAATCATTGGTAAGGTTGAAACTCGAATGGAGGAATTCACTAAACAGCAACCAAGCGATGAATTGAAGCAGCCACTTGACAGTAAATCTGAATTACTCGATGATTTTTCATTGGATTTTGGCAAATCAAAACCAGCTCCGGTCCTACATTCTCCAGTTGAAAGCTCAAAACACGAATTTGAGGCGAAATCCATCGAATCCCGAGCCGAAGATTTGAGTCAAAGACAGCCCATCGACGAAACAAGTTTATCGATTGCCAGTAAATCGGAGGTCATTCATCGGATCGGTACATCAAAAGTAACTCCAAAAACACGTTGGTCAGCAAACGATCCAGACCATTCGAGCCCGAGCAGTCAAAGCTTAGAAAACAGTAGACCATGTTCGTCGGATGTTGAAAATTTGTATGTTTCCTATCCAAATTCATCGGCCGAATATCAAACAGCGTTGGATGCATCATCGCTTGTTCCGGGTTCAACTGAATACCACACCGCCGTAAGCACATTCGATCACAGTGGCAAAACAATCAGCTCACAAGAAAGCATGAAGAGTTTGGATTCGGAAAGCTCTGGAAATTTAGGAAGTGTTGAAGTTTCTGAGGCATCAGAGACACTGGTACCGTCAACGGCTGAGCTAGATTTTGATGAAAACGAACAGCGTTTATCAAGTCTCGATACATTCGGTGACAACATTTTGGAAGAGAATATTCTTGATCTTGAATCTGACGACATTTCAGGTCCAATGAAGCGTTCACATGAAATGATATTCTCATACGATATTGCAACAGTTGAAAGCCAAGAGTCCCTGAACTCAGTTGAAAAGTCTGAAATGAGCGAACGTAAAGCTAGCGATGAAGAGTTCAAGGTGCAGAGTGAGGTTAGTAGCGATGAAACTAAGTTCGGAACAAGCGTTGGCAGCAATTTATCGATGAGTTTTTCGACAACATCAAATGCAGATACCATTGTTGAAAACATACAAGAGGATATGGCAAGTTCGTATGGCGCTGGTTCACTTGTTGGCAGCTATGAACCGAAAACCATTCTAATGGACGAAAGCACATCGTTTGAAGAGAAATTCCCAATAGAACCAGTTGAAAATCTCGTCATGACAACGACCACTGTAACTGAAGACAATGTTACTTCGGTCAACACTCAAATTACATCGGATGTCAAAGAAGATGATGCTGCCGAAGAAATGACACCACGACGCGGTAAAGGCCACAAACGTAACGATAGCACATCATTTTTATCAAGCTTGGATATGGCAAAACTTTCGCAAGAAAGCACCGACAGCTGTCCCGACAGCTCATCGCTTGACGAAGAAATGATCATTCACGATGTGCCCGAGGACGAACGAAAGGAAAGCGGTTCCGATTCGGATTATGATCGTTACGAAACGGAATATTCGCGTTCATTCAAAAAGCCAGGTGTGCAACGCAAAAAGAAAGCAATGGCACCGAAAAGCGCACAAAAACCCGAACCCGAGCAACTAGAACGCAAAAAATCAATTCCAAGCATTGAAACCATTGTAGAAGTATCGGAAGATATTATCGAAACGGAAAAGTTGCGCAGTCGTGGAGCATCACAAAATATGCTAGATTATTCACAAATTCCCGATATTACCATTACTGATGATCCTACAAAATATGTGTCAGATGATGAAGATTTCGAACAAAAACAACCAGAACCAGTGGCGGTTGAGCAATCAAAAGCGGAGCCGGTGAAGATTTCAGAGGTAGCTAAGAAATCTGAACAAGTACGTCAACCGAAAGAACCGAAAATTTCCCATGAAGAATATGAGAAACTGATCGAACGTCAATATAAAACGCAAGAGGATCCATACGAACCAAAAGCGGACTCACCAACAAGTGATTCGTTTGAGCTGGTCGAGCAGCCGGATATTTCCGATGAATTTGTGATTATCGAAGAAGTGGCCAAAGAAGCGGACGAACTTATGACCGAAGGCAAAAGTGTTTCGATCCAACAGACAAAATATGTGAAGAAACACGATGACGAGGTGGAAAAAATAATAATAAAATCGGCTCCAGCTGCTACGAATGAAGGATCAACTTTGCTGCATGGTCGCCATGATTTGGCATTTGAGTTTGAAGAAAGTCCATCTAGCGGTGCAAATACTGAATCAAGTGAAGAGGGTGCCGGCATGGAATCCAGTCGCAAATGGGTTGAAATGCAATTGGCTGAACAAGCTCAAAACTTACGCTATCCATATGATGTTGATCGGGGCATTCTTGAAGATATTAAGGAAGAGGATACTGACTTTGAAGTCGGTAGCAGTCGCATAAGCAGTTTCAAGGACTCGTATTCAAGTAATGATTTTGAGGCAGCCGCCGCTCGTCGTTATCATTCAAAAGATCAGGATAATGTTTCGGTTAACAGTTTGCAAGAGTTTGAGCGACTTGAACAAGCGATTTCGTTGGAGAACAGGAAATTCCATTCAAGCTCGAATGATTCATTCAGTAATGGAAGTTTCCCGAAACGCGGTTTGCGAACAGCCCAGGCTGATGAAATATCATTATGTAGTTTGCAAGATTTCGAAGGATTAGAAAATGCTTGCCTGGAAGCCACATTATTGGAACTCAGAGCAAAAGAAGAACATGCTTCGTTGCTGTCACGTTCGGATGAGTCCAACAAATCCGGTAGCCAATCCGACGATGGAGCCGCAAAAGTTATTGAAAAAACAACGACCATCGTAACCAAAGCGCAGCCTTTGAAAACTTCAATCGACCCAATTACTGGAATATTTTCCGCTTCACAAACAACTGTAACGAGAGTAATAACGGAGACAAAATCCAAGATTGAACCGGACGATGAACTTTCGGCATCAAATTTAATGGAAGTTTCCACAGACAGTTTGGAAGCAAAACAATCGAAACAAGCGTTGCACAGCAAAAATACATCTCAACATGGTAGCAGCGATAGTTTGGAAATAAACAAAAGCGCAGATATAATGACTAGCAGCATTGATTCAATTGAAATCTCAAAAGATGGAGCAACGACTAAATCATCGAAATCCGATGGCGATTCAATTGAACAGATTGCACGCGGCGATAAACGTGACAGCATCGATTCGATTGATGCCCAATACGTCGCAATGACACAATCCATTCACATGCAACGTGATTCATTCGATGCAAATCTTCTTGATCTCACCTCATCGGGCATTATGGGTGGTTCGTATATCACGGATGGTAAAAATGTCACAACAACTTCGATGGCATCGTCGTCCGGCTACGGTGGTGGCATTAGCAAAGACATTTCAAGCGATTCACTGAATCTAAACCAAGAGCCAGAGTTACTCATAACGAGCACTGAAAGTCTCGATAATACAAGCTCCACATTTGCAACGTATCAAAGTCAAACTGATTCTCAAATGACATTGTCGGGTAGCATGACAAGTTGCGATTCAAACACTCTTGTCGACGTCGACACATGCGATACGATGATATACAGTGATTTATACCAGAGTGGCGCAGCCAATCTGTTGCCCGATGATAAGTTTGGTGTGCATATGACTTCGACAACTGTGACCACAACTAGCGCATACAAAGCCAAATCGAGCAGTAATGATGTTGATAAATCATAAATCGTCAGTAGATCTCTTGTTGAAGGCGCGTCATGATCTTTCAAAGGTATTGTTTTTTTTTTCACTCTCTATCTATCTCTCTGCTATGTTCGCTTTTGATTCCAAAAATCAATCATATACTGTGCTCTCATACAATATCTTCGTATATCAATCATAAGATTGTTTTATTTATTCTTTTGTATATGCTGTAAAGTGTTTTGTTTTTTGTTTTCTTGTAATTTATGTAGTGTTGAGTTAAATCTCAGAAGAAAAAAAAACTTATTTAATTGTATCCCCAATGTACGTAAATATGAGAACTACCTTCCCTATACTTGTCAAATTGCATGAGTCCAACTATATAGGTATCGCCTTCAAAAATCGATTTTAGGTAGACATGCAACTCCAGGGATCAAATTGAATGAATTAATCAATATGAATAGAGAAAAAGAAATAGTAGTAGATTTTTCAGAACGAAACATAATAGGTCATAGGAAAAACTTTTTAGAGAATATTCTTGAATACTATTATTACCAGAAAGCAAAAATATACCGCCCCGAAACGTGTTAAAATGACATTTTTCTCTCTTAAAACGATTATATAATAACTACACGTTGTGTCAGCATGTTAGCCAAAAACCATTGATTTAATTACCGATTAAATAATGACAGAAAAAAGACACCCAAAACGATTAACACAAAACACATTCAAATCAGCATATTCCAACATGAGTCCATGTACATTTATTATAAATCTGGGCCGTCCGTATGCGAACGGTGTAGTGTGACTGCTTCTTCTTCTTAACTAACACATCTATACATGTAAGTCACCATATTGGTTAAAATGTTCAAAAATGGCACTCAATACACTGTATACATGTTCAATATGGCCGCGCCCATTGTGTACGACAGTGTGAAGAAGAAGAAGCAGTATTATAAGAAACTGTGTATGGGTTTACATAGGGATGATCTGGGCATAGATTTTCTAGAGCTAATATTTGTTTCGGTTTAATATTGATAGAATGACTGGAAAATCCATGCCCCTGCTTTACAGCACATATGATAATTTCATTGTGAAATTATCATGTTCAAAGAGAATATGTGTTCAGAATATTGAAATGGTCATTTGAGATATTCTTTTGTTGTTGTAAATAGCTGTTTTACACATTCACGCACACATACAACATACAAACAACTCTCACTGCAAACCAATCCATTTACATGCTTTTAAATTATTATCACATTTTCGCTGAATGTCCCGCATGAATTTTGTAATTCAATTGTAATTAGCATAAATTACCTTATCACAAATAATCTCTTCGGTTTCGCTCACATTGGATTTCATCGATGTATTCAAAGATCCTCAAATGTATACTTCTTGACTGTGTCTATTTCATGCTTATAATTTGTTGATTACTTCATAAGAAAAAACAAGTTTAATTATGCACCAACAACACACATTTTTGTAGCTATATTCATTAGGCGGTTAAGAACAAGACACATTGGATTTGATTTCGAGTGCATCCGCTTTTTATTTTATTGTTTTTTTTTTTATCCAATCTTTAACTAAACAAGTTTCGTGCAAAATTTTGGACTAGTTAACTAACTGAATCCCTTATCTTTTAATTCTTTGTTTTTCTTCTGAAAAAAATAGGTGATGTTCATTAGAGGGAGCAAAGAAACAACTATTAATAAACATTTGTCTTGATAAAGTGTGGTTTGCTTCATCCCATAAATATTTATGTAAGTCCATAATTTTCACACCATCAAATTCAATTGAAGCTCGATATAACTTAAATATTATTGTTTTTTTTTCTCCATTTTCAGATTAATCACGTTGCATTTGGAACCAATATGAGCTAAAAATAAACTCTGACCAGCAATCTATCCAATATTAACCAATGTACCCAACAAAAAATATTTCACTGAATGTTTTTCGTAATATTTTCATCTAATTACAAGAAAAGTAAATCAATTTAATGCATAATTAGTATAAAATTATCTTATTTATACACATTATATGAATTATCTAATTTATAACAATGTAATGGTATAGCTTTTATTTGAATTTGGAAGCTTTTTTGATTGCACATCGTAATAAACATTTAAAGAAAATCAACAAAAAAATATTCAGAATAAATACGCAAGAAAATGGCAAAATGAATACATAAATTTTATCTACATACTCAAATATTCATTCATGCTTTTTGACGATGTTGAATTCTGAGCTATTTGCTTTAGCATCCAATAAAGTTGTATCTACACAAAAAAATAAAAACACCAATTGCGAATTTAATCAATAGGAATAAGTGATCCGATTCAGCAATCATATGATTTGATATTGAAAGTTTTTTCTTCTTCAGATGACTTGTATGAAGTAAGTATACAATAGTCTAAAACTAACATATTGGTACATAATACATATGTTAAATTACAGAATGGGAAACTTTTGGGCACAATTTGTTACCTTCCTTTGACTTGGTTAGTTGATTTTAATCAATAGATTCTCTTCAATTTTCAATCTATTTATACTCAATCGTAGGTATGAAATTCCGAACAAATTACAACATTATCTTCAATTTTTAAAAAGCAAGAATAATTCATATTCATATAGGGGATGTTGGGGTGATCTAGAGGACTCTTTCTATATCATAGAAGAGAAACTAGGGCATGTTCAGGGATATTAGGGAATATTGTATACCGTAGAAAAGGTATTGTAAAATGGAAACCTTTGGCCAAGTAAATTTTCTCCTGACCCATCTACATACGCAGTTGAAATTCAGTTAGCGCCACAAACAATTGTCAGTTGTCAACAATAACTTTGTGGTGAATTCAAAAACAGTGTTTGATTTGAAAAAAAAAAGAGGCGATAAGATTTTTTTTTAATGTTTCAAACAAGCACAAAAAATCTTATATAAATTATAATCAAATTTGGCCGAGAAATACGTAGTTGAAAATAAAAATAATGTTTCGTGCGATTTCACAATATTATTATAATAATAATTATTATTGTTATTATTTATATATTTCGTCAAATACTGGCTTTATTATTGAGATTCTTTTTTTTGACAGTTAGCTGTTGGCTATCGTACACTAATGTAACCGCACACAATGAACCGAGTCAGAGTTTCTTTCAGTCGTACCGAAAAGTGTAAAAAAGCGTTATTAAGATTGCATTTTAATAATATGTTATTATTATAACATTATGGCTAAACGGATTTCTGGATTCGAGCAATTGAATGGGCTCATTTCCTGTCAGAATCAACCTATTTCATCTAATTTCTATGAGCCGTTGCTTAGTTATGATATCGAAGCCACCACGATCAACTTGCATGACTTTCCATACTCCCCAACGACATTCAAATATATGGCCAAACGGATTTCTTGATTCGAGCAATCGAATGGGCTCATTTCCTGTCAGAATCAACCTATTTCATCTAATTTCCATGAGCCATTGCTTGGTTATTAATTGCTTAATTTGTTAATAAAATGTTATTACCGCCAAATCTTAGAATTTATTAAGATAACTCCCAATACAACTCATAACATATCATGTTATTATTATGCCTGAATCTTCGGCAATAACATATCGAAAATGTAAATCTGTACATTTCATTTTATAATCACCGAACGAATCCCTGTGTATACACACAAAGTTAAGGAATGACAATATTATTTTGTTGAAATTCCCCTTCTGTTTCGCTGAAAATTTAAAGAGAAAAACCCACATAATTGCTGGAATTTTACTAAAACTTCTATCTGTCAACATAAAAACTAGACCAACCAACATTTTAGTTGTCAGTGCCTGTCACGTTGAATGAACAGAGAACTGTGAATAATGAGTGCATTTTAAATGAATGGGCAAGCGGAATAATGAAACGTAATTCTGTTTTTAAATGAAGTGCCTCTGAGAAAAATTTTCAGTAAAAAAGCCCGACAAAAATATTGTCTGAATAAGATTTTCATACAAATTTTTATCAGACAATATTTTTGTGGGGCTTTTTTACTGAAAAATTTTCTCAGAGGCACTTCATTTGAAAACAGAATTACGTTTCATTATTCCGCTTGCCCATTCAAATGGCCTTCAGGTGAAAATGGAAAATCTTCAATATAAAGTCTCGGTCTGCAAAGTTTGACATTTTGAGATATTAGTGTGTCAAAATACTAAATGCGACATGAAAATTGCACATTTGAGTAGATAATGACGAAAAATTAAAATTTATCCTAAATATATAAGGCACATAAAATGTTCGAATTTTCCAGTTGAAGTTGAGTTTTTGATATGAAGTGTTAGGTTGAATTCAAGTGCATTTTCAAAAAACAAACAAATTAAAAGTTGTAGAGAAGGAAATAACGAAGAGAATACCTATATATAATTTTGCGAGTTTGAAATTAAATGGACGCATTGAAAATGTCGAAAATTCAAGTGCTTGAATATAACCAAAAATTTATGGCACCAATCGGCTTATATTCGTACCGTCTCATCGAACCTACAAATGAATTTTACACTGCAATTGCTCCATATTACATTCAGTTTTTCAATTTAGCTTTCTTAATACTGTCCACTGCAGTGTTCACGTTTCAGAATTTATCGCAAATCGGTCTCGCCTTGCAGAATGTTAGTTTGTTCATCGCTGGCATCCAATGTGCAGGATTGTTCATAAACGTTGGAATCAACATGAAAAAGGTTAAAATATTTCATCTCAGATGTCAAGCAATTGTTGATAGAGGTAGCTCATATATTTATTGCGATTTTTTCAACAAATATTTCAAAAGAAAATTCGAATTTAGCCAAAACTGGGTGATACGATATTTACTGGAACAATGAGCAAAAATGCCGAAGATTCACCAAGAGAATTTGCTGTTACATTCTAGGCCATTCTCAAGTATTTGTGGCTGCACTCTTCTATTCGGTTTACTGCATTTACGTTGGAAATTTTGACACATCCACTTGGCCATTGCCGTTCAATATGATGGTCCCTTATGACACAACGGTTATTTGGGGCTGGTATTTTATGTGGTTCATTCAAATTAATACTGCATTTAGCTATTGTCTCAGCACTATCGCACCAACGTCTTACTTTGTTGCCTGTTGCTTATACAACGTCGACCCTTTTGATCACTTTGATTTCTTAATACGAACGATTGGAGTGGACGTCAAAGAGAGTCTAGAGGAAACGAATTCAATCAAGCTTCAGATTATGCGACGAAACATCAAGGGAAAACTCATCAATCTGGTTAAGCATCATGCCGAAATCTTAGAGTAAGCCATTTCATGGGTCCGAGTGCTAAAATGCTAAAGACAATCTTTTAGGTTCTTCAATTTGTGTCATGAAATCAACAGCGGGGGAATTTTTTGGCTTCTCACACTCAATGCGTTATTTATGGCAGTCTCAATTTTCAACATAGAACATGTAAATGTTTTAATATTCACATTTTTCAAATTTGAAAACCATAATATTCGGATTTGACCGATATTGTTTGTAGTCTGCCCTTGACATCGTGAGTATTGTTTACAATGCATTCTGCATGGCATGCTCCCTGATTTGGCCATCATTATTCTGTTACTATGCGACTGTTGTCACCACACGCCTTTCATCAATTGCTAACGAAGCTTATGGAACAATTTGGTACGATTATCCTCTGGAGTTGCAAAAATTCATGATTTTGATCATTGCTCGCTCGCAGGAGCCTGTTTACTTCACCGGCTTCAATTTTGTTCTATGCACATTGGAGACTTTCGGAAAAGTAATTTTATTAATTGTTGTTATACTCATATCTAATATGAATTTCGATTTCACACAGATTTTCAAGTCATCCTGCTCTTACTACGTGGTATTCAGGAGTATTCAACGTTAGAATGGTTTTTAATTGTTATTGCTATTACCATAACTTAGGATTTCGGTTCTTTTTCAGACAAAATGACGTTCCATCCGATTTTTCGGACTTTAATATACACATTGGCACAATATGCGGTATTCCTCAAGCTATTTGGCCTCACAGTGTCAAATGTACAACAGTAATCAAATTGGCTACAAATTGTGGCAATATGTATGTTATGGTCCGAAAATTTGGATGAACTGTCTGTCTGTCTGTCTGTCATTTTAACTTACCTTACATGTTTCGTTCGGAAAGATTAAACATTTTCATTTCCAAGCGAATGCCGAGAACTGTATATTTTACTAGCTAATCGTGTCTATCGAACATGAATATTTTGACGTCAAAGCAAACGAATAACGTGTATTCCTTTTCAAAACCTGTCTATGTTTTACAACTATACACAGTAGTTTTCGCAGTCAGGGGTTTTATTGAATCTAAAACGAACCACAAAACTTTAAAAATAAAACAAATAAAAATGGCCCAGAAATGGTATATGTATTACACAGGGTTTTTCAAATAACCCTGACTATTTGTTTTCTTTTAATAAAGGAAACACATGTCTTTTACATTTCCGAAACAAAAACATGCATTTCAGTACGGGGAGATATGTTCTGATTACTTTTTGACACCCCTTTTTGTCGACTATTTCTTGAGGTAGACAAAACATGGCCTGACAACGTATTTTTCAACCACCCAAGTGCGAACGCTACGTCTTTTAAAAGAAGTGATTAATGGTATAGCTGAAATTTTCCTCACGCCATTCTCGCGTATTCTGTATAACATTGCAGAGAAGATGCACGTCTTTCAAACAGGAAATTATATAGAAGACGTGAGAAAGGCGTGAATACGTGAACCGCGTCTTTCAAAAGACGTAGCGTTCGCACTTGGGCAGTGAAGTTGTTTTCACAAAAAATGGTTTCGGACTATGGCTTTATTATTGTAGAAAGGCTCATGAATATTCTGAGCATTTTCAGTAGCATAAAAACACGTCGAAAATTAGAAAATTTTCTCAAAACCATTCTCGAACCAATTCCCATGGAGATCATTCGAAAGATAATATTTCCAAAAAGTGAGCAGAATATATCTCTAACGAATCGAAAATGGAAAAATTATTGGTTTTAATTAAAACAAATATATAGGTCAGATCAATTTGGTACATCCTGTGCTAGTACTTGTTAAAAATTATTTCCTGTTTCCATTTCAATTATTAATCAGACGTGCTCACGATTGTTGCACATGTTCAGTATATTTCACGAACCCGATTATGATCACGTTTCGAAGCATTGCAACGACTATGTGTGTCATTACGGTGATACGAGCTTATATATCAGATAACTGATATATTATGTCTAAATTGTGGTGCTATGTTTTGCAATTATTCACACAAGTTTTAACACTCAAACGGTGCCTAAAAAAATTTCCCTAGTGACGGTCTCTGTCTCAAAATGAGTGAGGGTATTGTATGCTCAATAAAATTGTTGCATAACCTCACTTAAAAAAAATTTAGCAAATAAATCTCTCAAAAATATTCATTCCTTCAGAGTGAGAAATTATGTGAAATTTTTTTTCAGTACTTCCATGTAATAATAGGGTAGAATGAGGCTTCTCGATGACCGAGGCAAACCGACGCAGTCCACATATCTCGAAAACGATAACTCTTTATGAAGACTAAGTGTAATACAAGTATACAGCTAGTTTCGCCGTTTTATTCTCCACATTTGGACGGTGACAATTGTGTTCTTGACACTGCTAATTACTAATGAAATTCAATTGGAGCAAGGAGCCAATGGTGTAACAAAACCTGGAAGGTAGACTAGATACTAGAAAAACTACCCGACGAGAAATTTGCGGAATATCGCATTGCGACTATTCTACGTATAGTCGCAATACGAAAAAGTCCGTCGAACGCAGCCAACTTCACGTTGGTTGTACGAAGTTTCAAGTCGAAATATCACACTCGATTCAGTTACAACTTCACATTTATCGCAGCGCGAATAGTCGCAGGGTATTCAGCGATAACATTTTGCGGCAACTTTTATTGTGGATACCTATTCGCATTGCGAGTATCCGCACTCAAAAACGGATATGCGACGGATAGTCGACGTACACCTATTTCACCGCAAATTTCTCGTCGGGCTAGAAACATACTAGAAATATTAGAAGTATTCAGTTCACACACGGTATCTGTGATTTTAAGTAAGAGTAACTGTCAAATTGTACCAAAAAAAACTAGAAAAATCTAGTGCATACTAGAATTCTGTGCCTAACCCTTAGGAAAAACAGTCATCAGGGTAAAAAAAAACATTTCTATAATCTATGGTAAATTCCTTTTTCATCCATGTTTCTAGTTTGTGAATTAATATTTTCATGTCATTTTCTTTAAAAACAACTATAAAACTATGCTCTGTACATATGTTTGGTTACTTGCTTCAGGGATAATTAATTGACTTGATAGACGGTGTTAATGGGGATGCGTCAGTTCACCCCGAAAAAATGGTGGAAAATTGAGAAGTATAAGTGTATGTATCGAAAAATGCGCATTGGCAATACCTATCATATGACATGATGATAATTTAAATTGAATGATTGAGTTAGGACAGTTTTTGTACTAAATATCGTCCTCACCTATATGCGGGAAAAACTGAAAGTTCTGAAAAACGTAGTTCGATCAATAATCGACTATATTGGAGTTATTTTTGTGGCGTCTCTACTCGCATTTACCGTCCATTATTGTAAAAGCTTACTTGTCAAAGTTCAAACATCAATGCAAACATATGAAAGTGGAGGAAATGACGCATGCCGCCAATACTTAGCAAATGATGCACAAATATATTTGTTGTTGTACTGATTTGCTAGATACATTGATAGTTCATCAGGTCGGCGACATGATTCGTAGATGGCGTGTTGGTAGTATTTTCAACAGCCATTACATCGTAAGGTATACGACCCACCGTACTGTAATATCTTCATAAAAAAAAAATGAAGTGCAAAAGTTAAAACGGGTCTTGAAAAACAACAACCATTACAGCATTTAAGTGTTAAAGAAATTCGTGGGCTTTTAAAAAAATGTACAGTTAAGAATAAATTAGTTCTTTCAACTATGACGTCAATGTGCTCACGTTTGATATGCGTGAATGTGCTCACAATATATGGAAAACACGATCGCACGTTTATCGTGCAAAAAGTTTGACGAGTTCTACTATGGAATCATGAAACAAAGACATTGTATAAATAGTCGACATCTTGTTGGAAGCAGTCAGTTCATTGTTGACAACTTAATTATCAACAATTAGTGAAAAAAGACTAACATATTATAATGAAACTGATTTTAGTTTTATTGGCAACTTTTTTAGTGGCTACAGTATGTGCGGGGTACGGTGATGCAAATGGTTACGGAGGAGATGGTTCAAATTTTGAAGAAAGGAAGGGTTACAATCGTTCGAAAGGTTATGGAGAATCAAGAGGCTATGGAGTATATAGACATCGGCCAAGAAGCAGACGAGGACATAGGATAAGTAGACCAGGCTCATCATGGTATAATCCTGGAGGTCCAATAAAAACCACGATAGGTAAATCTAGATTTATATAGCTATAATGATATATATATGTACATATATATATAGCTATATAAGTCACATTTGATAGAATTTGAAAGTTGATATAAATTTTGAACGTGTTTATGAAAGAACGGCGTTGAGGTTCTTGCCAAATATTGACGGTGTCAAATTGTATCCTCGTAATTAACTGTTGTCGTGCCGACTTCGCGTACTAGCTGCCAACAGTGCGAGCGAATACGTTATATGCCACCGCCGAAATCTCTACAGTAGTTTTCATCGATATTGTATTTTTTAATGGAACAATTACATATTACACCGATGGAAAAAAAACTATAGTGAATAACGAAAACGTTATGTTCATAACACCGTCCAACACATGTTTTCGCACAAGAGAAATTCCGATTGCTTGTTTTAGAGGACCAAAAACCAAGCACTTTTGCATCATTAGTTTGTACGAAACCACGTCTAGATTTTTTTTTATCGACACATATGAGCAAATCACAAACATGAGCTTCGATTTGACAGGTAAAGCAAATATGAATCCTTTACGAACATTTTGGGTACTTACATGACCAAATCGAGTGATGTTTTCACATATTTCTGGCCGCATATTCGGTTGGTTCGATTTCAACTCTAGAGGAATCGACTTTTGGCCAAAAATCCTTAAGTATAGGCTTTTCAGGGATGGTATCTTGGCGCAAAGTTTTTTTCTCTCGAAAATATGGAGAGTCTACCCAGACAAAAACTCTCAGAATTGACTTTTTGAGGTACCTCCCGAACAAAAGTTACGTTTTTCATGCATTTTGCTATGAAAATATCATTTTTTGTTCAGGAGGTACCCCAAAAATACACTATTTGGATGATTTTCATGTAAAAAATTATTTTTCTCGAGAAATATTGGGAATGTTCTCACACAGAATCTCTTATAAATGATTTTTGAGGTACCTCCCGAACAAAAAATGATATTTTCATAGCAAAATGCATGAAAAACGTAACTTTTGTTCGGGAGATACCACAAAAAGTCAATTTTGAGAGTTTTTGTCTGGGTAGACTCCACATATTTTCGAGAAAAAAAAACTTTGCGCCAAGATACCATCCCTGAAAAGCCTATATTTAAGGATTTATGGCCAAAAGTCGATTCTTTTAGAGTTGAAATCGAACCAACCGAATATGCCAGAAATATGTGAAAACATCACTCGATTTGGTCATGGAAGCACCCAAACTGTTTGTAAAGGATCATACTAGATGTTGAAAGGCAGAAAAAGTAGAAATTATTTGCTTTACCTGTCAAACCGAAGCTCATGTTTGTGATTTGCTCATTTTGGCCTGAAATTTGTCTTATATGTGTCGATAAAAAAAAAATCTAGACGTGGTTCCGGTCATTCTAATGATGCAGAAGTGTTTGTTTTGAGGTCCTCTAACAAACGCCATCGGAATTTCTCTTGTGCGAGAAAAAAAGTTGAAATTTGTCGAACGGTGTAATCATCACATACCTGATGTTGAGACGAAGTGTTATCGAAAACGTTAGCCATCAATAACAAATTGTACAATATTAGGAAGTAAAAAAAAAGGACTTCACTTACCAGTAAACATATGAGTGTTTCAGAAATTTTTTCACAAAATTTCACCTGGATTCGATAGTTGGGCTCAAATGATGACGATTGATGCAAATATATTGGTTAGGTGAAGAACGTTATTGGGATTTTCCCCTTTTCAAACCATTATAAATCAATAAAATTGAAATTAAATGAAAAATAAAAATGTGGGGGATTTGGTTCCTCCAAAATGGGCGATTATCCATACCATAGGAGGTGGGAAAGATCCGTTCAGTCCCTCTGAATTGGCTATAACTCTTGATCTACGATACTATGAGATAAACTTTGTTCACAAACAAATTTGGTCATGGTGCTTATATTCATATGAGAATGATAAACATTAACCTTAACTAAGAATTCATGAAGAAAAACTCGAAAAATAAATTTCCTGCGTGACGTTCCGTCAGTATTTTTGCCCTTATAGTAAATAAAATTACAAATATGCCGATGGCACGCAAGACAACAAAATAGCCTTCTTTCGGTAGTTGAGCCCGTAGAATAAATATTTTGGTTTTCGTGAATTCAACAAGTGCGTTTGCAAAATGAGCGTTGACGCCTGTAGTCAGGTTTTGAACGAATTTAATTTTGTCAAAATGATTTTGCGAATGTTATTATTGTTAGAGTAATGCTACCTTCGATGAAAAGTCTATCCCAAGAACAATATCATTTAAGCAGTAAAAAATAACTGCCTCTATTTAAGCGCACCCAGTCAATCATTTTACTCGTAGCAAATGGAGTTTAAAATTAAATCCCAAATAGATTAAAAGCGAAATTTCGCCTAACAGGCTCCAAATACCAGCAGAAATATCGACTGAATCATCCTTGGCTGAAAAAGCGCCAAAAATAAAGACGTTTATTTTTTACTGTAAAATATCCGTATAGAAGCAAAAATCGGTTGAGTTGAGACACTAATTAAGAATAGCTGTAAGCCTTGAAATTCAATGTCGATACATTTGTGTCGCTAAGCATATTCCCATTTTTATGCTCAGCGACACATTTAATGTTCTTGGTTCCGACATACAGGAAGCCCAACCACAGATGATAAAACTCAACCGTGCAACGGTGTTCTATTTTTAAAATGGGCAAACTAACAAAAATACATATAGATATTACATATTCGTAGACGAACCGACCGAAAAGCCAACCTCAGCACCAGGCACAGGTAGGAGCCTATCCACTATATGAAAATGGTAAATCTTTCATAATATTATATTTTTTAGGAACGCCAAACACTGGATTCCCAACTAATCCAACTGGTAATTTTTCCTTCATTCCTTGACAAAGCAAAATGATTCCATTGCATTGATTTGTCCTTTCAATTGATTGCTAGGTGGACCAGGAACTGGCGTAACCTCCGTGACGAACACTCGATTCCCAACTAATCCAACTGGTAATTTTTTCTTCATTTCTGGACAAAGCAAAATGAATCTACTGCATTGATTTGTCCTTTCAATTGATTGCTAGGTGGACCAGGAACTGGCGTAACCTCCGTGACGAACACTCGATTC